GCTTCTGAGATTTCAGAGGGGAAAGTTAAAGACTCTGTCAGGGTGGTCTGCCATTTTGATATAAGGTTCTGATTCGCTGGGGCTGAAGAATCGGCTGCAACTAACAAGATGCCAGAACTACTAACGGGAAACCTTTTGTCAGTGGGACAATTGATGCTGGTTAGCCGGAGCTAAGACATTAGCAGTGATTAAGAGGAGACCAACATGGCCAAGGAAGTGTTTTCTGAGAGCACAGAGAAGCCACATTCTAGAGGCGGCCAAGGTTGTACCTACTGTTGGCAGCTGGATTTGTTGACCGTGTATGACTCGCCCAGGTGGTACCAGTTTGGAAAGGATGAAGGGGTCATGGAGAGCAGCTGAGGCTTGGCCCCATGAGAGACCAGGAGATGCTATTGATGAGAATGCAGTCCAGCTGAGGTAGGAGACCCCATTGTTTTGGAATGCCTCTACCTTGGGGTGACCCCTACAAACGGCAGCAGAGCGGCGTGGAGCCAGACAGAAACTGGACCATAAGCCGTGTATGCTACAGAGAGCCGAGCTTAAGGAGTAGTCCAAGCCCTCTAGAAGAACCCAAAAGATTGTGTGCGGACCCCAGACGTTGGATGTTGAGTTTTTTTACCCGGTGAAGTTTAGTTTTGCTTGGTTCAGATTGTGACCGAGCCCTGGTTCTTCCTTCTTGAACAAGGTATTTAATTTCATTTTGATTTTTTTTCACAGGTGCTCACAGCTGAAAGACCCTGAACTTTTAAAAGAGGTTTTGGAGTTTTAGAGAGATTGGATATTTTAAAGAGACTGAAATTTAGCTGGGCGTTGGTGACTCATGCCTTTAATCCCAGCACTCGGGAGGCATGAAGCAGGCAGATTTCTGTGAGTTCCAGGCCAGTCTGGTCTATCCTGAAGAGAGAGAGACTGAAACTTTAATGTGTTTTAATTTGTAAAGACTGTGAGACCTTTAAAGTTGTTTATGTTTTTAATGTGAGATCTTGGCAATGGATAAGAAAGGAAAGGTTGTGGCTTAATAGTGATGTGTTTGTGGGTCAAGCTGACAAAAGGTCGGTTGGATTGGCTGGTTTTGTGTGTCAGAGGGGAAGGAGCCTCAGTTGAGAAAATGCCTCCTTGAGAGCCAACTGTAAGGTATTTTTCAATTAGTGATCAGGGGAAAGGGGGAGGGCTCAGCCCAATGTGGGTGGTGCCATCCCTGGGCTGGTGGTCCTGGGTTCTATAAGCAAGCAGGCTGAGCAAGCCATGAGGAGCAAGCCAGTAAGCAGCACCCTTCCTTCCGTGGCCTCTGCATCAGCTCCTGCCTCCAGGTTCCAGCCCTGCTTGAGTTTATGTCTGACTTCCTTCAGCATTAGACTGTAATCTGGAAATGTAAGCCAAATCTTTTCCTCCCCAATTTGATTTGTGATCATGGTGTTTCGTTGCAATTGAAACCTGAAGACAAACACCTAGGCTAGCTGTGACCTCATAATCATTTTCTTCACCTTCCCTATCCTGCCTCCTGAGTGCAGGAAGTACAGGCCAGTCCCAAATGCAAATGCTAGAACTGATGCCATATCTGAGACTTAAAATTCATTGAATGGACTTAGTAATATCCTTAGGTGACAGAAGAATCAATAAACTTGAAGATAAAGCTATAAAAAAAAAATCCTCCCTGGGAGCCATAGACTCAGTGGCTTATCTGAGTGCCTGAGATCCTGCCTCCATCCCTGTCAACAGCAAATGAACCATCTGGTTCTTTAAATATTCTGTGCAAGGTCCCCTCAAGGTTGTACTTCAGCTTCGGAGTCTGTTCTGTGGCCCTGATCAATCAGTAGCAGCCTGATTACAACACATTTTTGTCACCTGCATTGACCAGGTGTTTTAGTTACCTTGGATTGAAGCAGACCTCAAAACAGAGCCTTGCTGTAAGGGAGTTGCTGGGAGTGGGCTCCGAGGGTTTAGCCTTGCCCCGCTTTTTGTTCATTCCCTTCTTCCCTGCCCCCCTCACCTTCTCTGCTTCTTGCTATGTGAATGAAAATGTGACAGCTTTCTGATCCCCCCCTCACCAAGATGGACTCTGTCCATCTGAAACCATAAACCAAAATAAACACTTTCTTCCTTAAGAAGCTTATGTCAGGGTATGTTATCACAGCAGCAGAAAACAAACAAGAATAAATTATTTGAGGGTGTGTTTTTTCTTTTTTTTTTTTTCCAGTTTTTTTTTTTTTTAAGATTTATTTATTTATTATTCATACATTATTCTGCCTGCATGTACATACCAGAAGAGGGCACAGGATCTCATTATAGATGGTTGTGAGCCACCATATGGTTGCTAGAAATTGAACTCAGGACCTTTGGTAGAACAGCCAGTGCTCTTAACCTCTGAGCCATCTCTCCAGCCCCTCAGTTTTGTTTTTTGAGATAGGGTCTTACTATGTAGCCTTGGCTGGCCTGGAACTCAAGAGATACTCCTGCCTCTGCTTCCTGAGTGCTGAAATTACAGACACGTGCCACCAGGCCTGCTAAAATTTGTAGTTTTAAAATAGGTTCTTGCTCTGTAGGCCAGGCTGGCCTTGAACTTGAGATCTTCCTACCTGGGCCCCTCAACCTCTAAGATTACAGATGTGAGCCACCATAGAAGGTGGTCTGAATTCCTCTTTGCAAAAATAAATTTAAATTTTGGTACAATTTTAAATTTGCAGGAAAAAAAAATACTACAAAGGGACTCCAGAACCCCTTCCCACAATTCCTGTGCCAATAGCATCTTACAAGCCTTGGAGAGCCAGAAATAAACACTGGCCCGATACAGTTAGCTACACTCTAGGCTTTTAGTAAACTCCCCTGGCTCTTCCTCCAGCATTCTTTTTCTGTTCCAGGATCCAATCCAGGACCCCATGCTGCGTTTAGTGTCAGGGGTGGTTTTCATTTCACAGACTTAGCTGGGGCTTCCTCTCACTGCTGAAGGGGGTAATTCTGTCTCTCTCAGTTGGGAATGTGTGTGCCTATTAATCCCTCTCACCTCCCTGGGTATGGCTACTATTTCACTCTGAGGAAGCATAAGCACAGGGCAAGAACCCAAGACCTTGAAAAACACTCAAATTCTCCCTGTCCCCTGAACTGCTGCTGCTTATGAGCTCTTAGAGCCTGGGGCAGCCTGCCCTTAGCAGTTCTCAGCCAATCCAGTCGGCAGCCATTGATTGAGTCCTTCCTTGTGTGTGAGGTCCTTTGGTAGATGTTGGGGTGGGGGGGGGGAGATAGTTTTAAAACGACTGGCTGTATCCTACTTTTAAGAGGCCAACGTGTATTCAGAGAGAGACAGCTAGAGCCAAGTGGGAGTGAGAGGCAGGTAGCAATGGTGTAAACAGAGGCAAGGGGACACTTCTACCTGCGAGGGACTGAGACCATGCAGGATTCCCAGGTAGAGGAGGAAATAAGGGTCCCTAACCCTGTCTAATAGGGTGGCAGAAGACACACCTCCCTCCCCCAGCTGGCAGCGAGAAGTTCCTGGATTCTCACACAGAGAGTAAAATCAGCTAAGTCAGAGGGGCTGTGGTAGTGGTATAAGCAGAGTGGAATGGAGAGGATGGCAGGAAGTGATTTGTTTTATGGGGGTCCCAGGAATGGAGAGGGGAGAGGCAAGCAAGAAAAGAGATTGGCTAATAGTGGATGGGATGTGAATACGAGGATGAGGTTGGGTAGAAAGAGAGCAGACCGAGGTTATGTATGAGCCAGCAAGACAGGCCACGTCTGTTGAAGGGACTAGATGAACCAGGGAGTTTTGAGGTCAAAAGGTACTAGAGATGCCAAGTATGAGTGCCCATGGCAATTTGTCCTTGGGGAAGATTGGGAAAGGCACCAGCTGCATGGCAGGCACCATGTTCCCAATACCCGTGCTACCCGAATGAATATCTGTTCTCCTTCATAATTCAGGAAAAAAAATCCATGTTCTTGGGGCATCAAACCATTTCCTCAACTGATCACACTCTGCTTTTCCTCTATAGAAATATTCTCATGGGGCTGGGGCAACTATTTGCCCGGCAAAGGATAAAGCAGAAATTTTTGAATTTGTCCCCAGCTCTTAACCTCCCCTAGGTGAAACTGCTCAGAAAAGTCCTGTCGCAACCTGGTGGACCCACTCTCCAGCCCCTCATCTACCCTGGCCTACTTCCCAGCCTCAGTTTTCTCTACACGGTGGCTCTGCCCAGCCTCCACTGACCTACTGCAGCCTGGGTCCTTTTTCCCTCAGGGTTTATCCTGTCACCCCTTTGGGGCATTCACCATACTTGTTTCCCTCAGTGCCCAGGTCTGTGGTTCAACAGTTAGGACAGAGAGCTGCTCAGCACTGTGGATCACCCGCCTGGCAAATTTTCAATGCTCACGAGGCGCCTATTTCTTCTTTTATTGTAAAATTTAGTGCTTGCTGTGCCGATTTTGTGAATGCTTTATGGTTTGGGTTCCTAAGATTTTGTTTTAGGGTGGATTTTGGGGTTGGAGACTCTGTCTCCAATACTCAGTTGCCTTTCCCAGCATCCTAAGTGCACCGTGCCCACAGCCTGCCTCCGGGTTCTTTTCTGGACTGAAACTGTTTAGAATCCTTGCTTGCCTGGGGGTGGTTTCCTCCAGAGCCCTCAGATTATACATTCATCTATTTATTCAGGCCATGCAACCAATTATCAAAGCTGGGTAGTCAGGCGCTGTTGAGGAAACATTGTGAAACAGTAGTTCCATCTCTGTGGGAGTCGGAGAGGAATGCTCCGGGAGCTTTGCCCGCCTTGGGGCCACAGGGGCTCTTGGTACCATGCGGGCCTCCCCAGGTATTGGTCCAGCCAACTGCGTGTCCTCCAGAGCCTTCTCCGCCCACTCTGACAGCGCTGGGCAGCTGGGACAAAGTCCCTGGCAAGAGACAGTGAGAAAGGGGTCAGGGGACGGAAATGTCGGAGTGGGGCGGGGCCTGGGAATGGGCGGGGCCTTTGTTACTTTCGGGGGCGGTGCTGGGGTTAGAATAGTGCCTGCGGGGGCAGGCCTGGAGGGACAGCCGGTGGGCGGGGCGTGAGCGCCGGGGTCCTTTTCCGTTCCCCCGACCTCTGCGAGGAGTGACAGCCTCAGAGACAAGAGCCATGGGTAAGAATGCCCCTCACAGCCCCTTAGATAGGAGCGGGAAGCCTGGCGGAAGCTCCCACACAGCCAGCTCACTCTGGTGAGCCGGTGGAGCGGACTGTCCTTTCCTCCTGAGCGCCCAGGCTCAGTCAGCAGCGCCCAGAACCCAACAGAGCCAGACTGTGGAGGCTCCAGACAAGCCACACAGCAGCTGAGTCCCTAGAATGCAGGAGTGTGCGCTTGGCTATTTGGGGTTGCGCTTTGGGGCCAGCAGCGTGAGAAGGTCAGCTTTAGGACGCGCCTGACCTGAGGAGGCCCAGCCGGAGTCCCACGGCCAAGCTGACTGCCCTAAATCCTCTCTCAGGCCTGACCTTTCCGAATGCGCTTGGCACCTTGGCTTCTTGAGCCTGGTCTGTGCACTGAGAATATAGCAGTCCAGCTCACGGCGTAGTCTCTCCGTTTTGACTTCTAAGGGGTTTCCCAATGTCCAAAATATTGAGGGCAAAGTCGAGTTTTGAGCTGTATAGTACTCTTAGCGCCATCTTCCTGCGCCTCCCAGGACCTCAATATTTCTTTCTATGTAGATTTGCTGGCCTGGAAACTCCCTAGACAAATCTGTCCTGCCTGGCTGCAATTCTCCTGCCTCTGCCGCCTCTCTCATACAATATCTTCAGAGACCACGACCACTGCACAAATTGCCATTGCAGTAGACCTGGTTTTGTTTTGTTGGCTTGAGGTTTTATGAGACAAGGTCTCACGTAGTCGAGGCTGGCCTCAAATTCCTGATCTACCTATGTCCGCCTCGTGAGTCCTGGGATGACGGGCATGTATATTACAGTGTATTGTTATCAGCATTGTACTTTATTTATTGTTGTTCATCTCCTACGGTGCCTAAGTTACAAATTAAACTTATTCATGGGCATATGTGTAGGAAAAAGCATAGCCAGCATTCATTGTGTGGGGTTCATTACTGCTTGGAGTTTCAGGTACCCACGGGGGTTTTGGAATGGGTCCCTTACAGGGAAGAGGCAATGTACTCTAATTCCTCCAGTTTAACAGGAAAAGAAAGCAAGGATGGAGAGGACCAGTCCAAGGTCATACAGCCCTACTACAAGTGTCAGGATTCAAGCCAGCAGCCTAACCCACTCCTTCCAGTTCTGCCCTAACCCCAATGGGTTACCTCCTGAAAAGCCCATTCATTGTCTCTCTCAGCCAGGGGTCTCCCTTTCCTACAGCCCTCCGAGAAACTGGAGATATCTGGCAGTCTGTCTGTCCATGGCCAGGCCGCAGGCCGGTAGCACATGCCGGTACCCATGCGTGCCGCCACATACACAGGGGCGGACTCTGTTGCAGGTTTACTCTCAGAGTTGAAGTTGGCCGTGCCCTGGGGCCACATTGCTGTCAAAGTCTGGGGCTCCCAGAAGAACCCTCCGGTCCTCTGCCTGCACGGCTGGCTGGACAATGCCAACTCCTTCGACAGGCTCATTCCTCTTCTCTCATCAGGTGGGGCTGTGGGCTGAAGGGCGGCGGCAGGGTGGACGCGGCCAAGCAGGACCCCCCACTCCACTCCCTCCTCTCTCTGCTGCAGACTTCTGTTACGTGGCCATGGATTTCGGAGGCCACGGGCTCTCCTCCCATTACAACCCAGGTCTACCGTATTACCACCAAAATTTTGTGAGTGAGGTCCGGAGGGTGGCGACAGGTGAGCAGCAGCTGTTAAGGGGCTGAGAGCCGGGGGATGGGGAGGTCCTCTGTGATGTCCCCCATCTCATCCTAGGAGTAGGATGAGCAGTATCTAGGAGGTGGTTCTAGCTTGGGAATGGATGCCTGGAGCCTGGTCCCAGGTCTCACAAGAACTGAAAAGAGCTTACCTCCTCCAGGAGGAGCTTTCCACAGTGGCGCTGAGCCCCCTCAGCTGGTCTCCTGGGTGGGGCGCTGCAGGTATTTGGAGGGAGTCCCAAGCCAAGACACAGGAGAAAGGACAGAGTAAGGCCGGGCCAGGCAAACCTTCTTTCTGGCTTTGTGTTTTCAGCCTTTAAATGGACTCAGTTCTCCCTCCTGGGCCACAGTTTCGGTAAGTCAGCTTAGGCAGGGACCCGAGTTCCATGGGGGCTCTGGGAAAGGGGGAAGATTTGACACTGGTACCCAGTATCATCCCCTGCCCCACTGAGGAGGGGGGCAGGTAAGAGGATCCTCCGATGCTTACCTTTAGGGACTGTGCCCTCTGGCCTCAGATGAGGGAGGGGGTGGCTTTGTGAGTAGCTTCTAATGAAGGGACCTTGGTGGCCCGTAGGCAGAGAGGCCTGGACTTTCAGATGCAGTGTCCCAGCCCTGTGGTGGGAGAAGAGCTAAGGGAGGGACAGCTCCCAGGAAAGAGCTTGGGGGAGGATTCCAGGAGCTGGGGAGGGGTCATGTGAGATGTCACCACTGTTCTCTTGTCCGGCAGGTGGCACCGTGGGCGGCATGGTGAGTAGCTGGCTGTGCTGCAGTTGTCAGGGGGACTTGGTGGGGGTTGGGGCTTTGGTTGACTGGGGACCACGCAGAAGGTAGGATGGGAAGAGCCCCGTCATAGGATGCAGTAGCTGCTCCTCCTTAGCCAGAGGCGGTTTCCACACACACACACTGTGCCCTAGGGCAGGTTCCTTGTAGAGTTTCCACATACCCCATCTGCCATCCCCAAGACTCACAAGTCCGGGGGCCGCTGGGGTCTGCAGCTAGGTCTGGGAGAAGAGAAGCACACTGAAGGGACAGAAGACTCCTGCTCGGGCGAAGCCTGTGCCTTCCCCACCGACTCACCAGCCCCTCCTGTTTGTCACTCTCCAGTTCGCCTGCATCTTCCCGGAGATGGTGGACAAGCTTATCTTGCTGGAATCGACGCCATTTCTTCTGGACTCTAATGTAGGAAGAGGCTTCTTCGAGGCTGCCATGGGGACCAGCCCCAGACTTTGGCAGGGGAGGGGGGCCTTTAGCTCTGTCTCCTGTGGTGGACATTGAGGAGGCAGGAGAATGTGGCAGAGGGTGGACAAGTTAGCCAGGGATCATTTCCCACCCCACCCCCACCCCCACCCCGCCAGAGGGCAGCATCCTTAAGCCTGTGCCTCTGAGAGTGTCCGGGATCAGAGTGTGGCCTGGATATCCTGCAGCAGGAGGTGGATGAGGGGAGCAGCCGTGGGTGGAGGAAGTTCCGGGCCACAGCAGGCTCCAGGCAGCAACACTGCACACAACCAGAGTGTGGCTGACAGGAAATACCAACACCTCCAGTCTCGACAGCCATTGCTGCCCCTGAATCTGAGACTTGGCTCTTGTCTTTTACCTACTGTGTGACCCTAAGGAAGTTGGTTTGTCCCAGAGGGGTCTGCTATGCCAACTTCCATCTTTCCATTTTTCTTCATTTACAAGATGGCCTAAGGACAAGAAACTCTTAGCACTCCTCCTGCCCAAGAGCGGGAATTACAGGCGTGAGCCGTCATACCTGGCTCTGTGCGTTTGTTTTCCTATCCTCATGTCTCCAGCCCCTGCACACTCTAAGCACTCGGTAATTTCCCATTGCAGGAACCAACAACTCAAGGGTTAATATGGTCACTGGGTTACCAGACTAGAGTAAAATTCATCCTTTTGTCCCAGTAAGGTCCCACTGATGAAACAGGTGGTATAAAGAGCCTTGGGGCTTCCTTCTGGGTAGGGCTGGGTGGCAATGAGCCCCGCCCCCAAGGCTGAACCTACTGGTCTTCTACCACTGAAGTGGTGAAGTATGGCAGAGCGAATCTCAGACCACCCGATCCGTCTTGTTCGTCTGGTTCTACTACTTGTCATTTTGTCATTAGCTGTGACAGCACTGATTGAAATCAGTGAAGCTCCCTGCCCTAGTGTCACCTCTACAGAGCCACTTGGCTGTTAACGGAGTCGCCCCCTCCCCCATCACCTGTCCCAGGCAAACCTGTGCTGAATGCAGAGGCACGTTGAGGGGCTGACTGGCAGGGGCTGACCCCTGAGAAGGGACACTGAGGGCGCAGCGGTCAGGACCGGGGGAGGGCTGGGGACCCCTCATCTGGGCCTTTCCTACTCACCAGCTGTGGCTGAATCCTTAGGAAATGGAGAACCTACTGACCTACAGGCGGAGGAACATAGAGCACACGCTGCAGGTGGAGGCTTCCCAGAAGTCCCCGAGGGTGTTCAGCCAAGAGGAGATGTTGCAGGGGTGGGTGCCAAGAGCAAGGGTACGGGGGAGGGGGGATGGCACTGGGAGGAAGCCCTCAGAAATCCGGAAGAAGCAGCAGCCTCTTCTTTCTCCCCCTTCTGCTTCCTCCCCCTCCTGGACACTTCTCAGAAGGCCCCTCGTTGCCACCGCCCCTCTTTACACATGCTTTGGGGTGGGGGAAAGGCTTGCCCCCCCCAAGTCCATGCTCTTTTTTTTTTCCTCACCTCTCTTCCCTCTGGTCTCCAGCTTTAGGCTCCTTAACAATTTGCCCGAGGTTCTCTCCCAGCTAAAGCTGTCTATCCCAGCGCAATCACACTGTGTCCTTTAACCACGGCTGGACCGAGGGGGCTGCCCCCCTCATGTTTGTTCACCGAATCTGGCAGAGCGCACAGTAGGAAAGGGCTTCACTCTTTTTGTTGTCTGGAGGAGGGGATGGACACACGTAGAGTAACAGGCAGGCACGTAGATACTGTGAGAACCCCCACCGACTCCGAAAGACGTGGGCATCCTTCAGGAGTAACCTCAGTCACCTCCATCTGTCTCCCCTTCCTCCATCTTCCTCCCTCACCGGGGCCTGACCCTGAGCCCCCTCATGGTGTGTGCTCAGCAAGTGCTTTCACTGAGCCACGTCCCTTGCCCTTTCCGTTGTTCATTTGCTTTAGAGAGATCTAGCTATAACTCAGGCTGGCCTTGAACTCTAAAGCTCTTCCTTTCTCAGCCTCTCCAAGTGCTGGGATTAAAGGCACACTGCCAAATCTAGCTGCCTGCTCCTCTTTCTGCCCGACCCCTGGGCTTGCTGGAGGCCTGGTTCCTTTAATGTCTGTCTTTCTCCCCCAGGTTCCTGAGTAACAACAGCCACTTGAGTAAAGAGTGTGGGGGACTCCTACTGCAGAGGGGAGCCACGAAGGTGGGCACAGGTAGGGACTCGCTGTCTGTCACTGCTGATGGATGACAGGGGGCACTTGTACATGCCAGGTTGGTGTTTGGTGTCTACAGCGTCTCACTGGCTCTTCCTTTGTCTCATACATCGTCCCGTGAGAGCAGGGGAAACTGAGCTTGCAGATTGCCAAGTACCTGACACAAGATGACATAATCATTACAGAAAGACGCTCTGTGGGAAGGTTAGCTAGGCATTGAGATTAAAGTTGATGAACGTCACGGCTGTGCCCTCCTGGGTCGATGGGGAGGTTTTCAGAACAGAAATGCTCATGCCTTTTTTAAAAAATTATTCACCTTATATCCCTATCAAAGCACCCCTCTCTCCTCTCCTCCCAGTCCTGCCCTTCCACCCTCTTCTTCCATTCCCCCCTCATCTTCTCTTCAAAAAAGGGAGTCCACCTCTCACCAACCCAGCCCAGCCCAGCCACATCAAGACTAAGCACATCCTCTTCTACTGAGGCCAGAGAAGGCAGCCCAGCTAGGGAAAATTGATCCAAAAGCAGGAAACCGAGTCCATGTCAGAGACAGCCCCCACTGTAGTTGCTAAGTGATCCTCATGAAGACCAAGCTTCCCATTGGCTACGTATGTGTAGGGGCCTAGGTCTAGGCCAGGCATGCTCTTTGTTTGGTGCTTCAATCTCTGTAAGCCTTCATGGTCCTCAGATGACTCCATTGGTCTTCTTGTGGAGTTCTTGTCCCCTCTGGGTCCCTTTATCCTTCTCTCAACTTCCACAAGACTCCCCGAGTTCTGCCTAAGGTTTGGCTGTGGGTCTCTGCCTCTGTTTCAGCCCACTGCCGGGTGGAGCCTCTCAGAGGACAGTTATGTTAGTCTCCTGTCTGCACACATAGCAGAGTATCATTAACAGTGTCAGGGGTCAGCTCTCTCTTGTGGGGTGGGCTAGTCATTATTCGGCCCTTCCCTCAATCTCTGCTCCAGCTTTATCCCTGCACACCCGTTGGCAGAGGGAATTTGGGGTGAAAGTTTTGTGGGTGGGTTGGTGTCCCCCCTTCCACTGGAAGGCCCTGCCTTGGATGTAGGTGGCCATGTCCCTTCCTGCTAGGAGTCTCAGCTAGGGTCACCCCAATGTCCTCCCAGGAGCCAGTCCCATTGCAGGTCTTCAGCTTGTCTCCATCTTTTCCCCTTCTCTCTCACCGAGCCTTCTCACCTCCCAGCCCCCACTTCTACTCTCCCCCACCTGATTCCCACACTCATTCCCCTCCCATCCCCTCTCCCACCCAGTTCTCGATTTTCATCCACTCTGATGTCTATTTGATTTCCCCTTTCTGAGGGGAGATTCAAGCATCCTCCCTTGGGCCCTCCTTGTTACTTAGCTTCTTTTTGTCTGTAGATTGTAGAATGATTATCCACTTATAAGTGAGTACATACCATGTGTGTCTTTCCAGGTCTGGGTTACTTTACTCAGAATAATATTTTCTAGTTCCATCCATTTGCCTGCAAATTTCAAGATTTCATTGTTTTTAATAGCTGAGTGGTATTCCACTGTGTAAATGTATCACATTTTCTTTATCCATTCTTTGGTTGAGGGACATCTGGTTGTTTCCAGTTTCTACCTATTATGAATAAAGCTGGTGTGACCATTGTTGAGCAAGTATGGCAGAGCATCTTTTGGATGCTCAGGAATGGTATAGTTGGGTCTTGAGGTAGAACTATACCCAATTTTCTGAGAAAGTGTCAGATTGATTTCCAAAGTGGTTATACAAGTTTGCACCCCCACCAGCAACGGAGGAGGCTTCCCCTTTCTTCCCATCCTTGACATCATGTGCTGTCATTTGACTTTTTTATTTTAGCCATTCTGAAGGTTGCAATTTCCTGATGGCTAAAGATGTTGAGTGTTTAAGTGCTTCTCGGCCATTAGAGGTTCCTCTCTTGAGAATTCCTGGTTTAGCTCTGTATCCCATTTTTAGTTGGATTATTTGCTTTGTTGGTGTTTAATTTTTTGAGTTCTTTATATATTTTGGATATTAGCTCTCTGTCTGATGTAGGGTTGGTGAAGATTTTTTCCCAATCTGTAAGCTGCTGTTTTGTTCTGTTGATAGTGTCCTTTGCCTTACAGAAGCTTTTCGGTTTCATGAGGTTCCATTTATTGTAATCTTAGAGCCTGAGCTGTTGGTGTTCTGTTCAGGAAGTTGTCTCCTGTGCCAATGAATTCAAGGCTATTCCCTGCTTTTTCTTTTATTAGGTTTAGGTATCCAGTTTTATATTGTGGTCTTTGATCCACTTGGACTTGAGTTTTGTGCAGTGTGTTAAATACAGATCTATTTGTATTCTTCGGCATGCAGACATCCAGCTAGACCAGCACAATTTGTTGAAGATACTTTCTTTTTTCTATTGTATTGACTTGGCTTTTTTTTTTTTTTTTTTTTTTTTGGTCAAAAATCAAGTGTCCATTGATCAACCTGTCTGTTTTTTTATGTCAATACCATGAGGTTTTTATGATATTGCTTTGTAGTACAATTTCCAATCAGGGATGGAAATACCTCCAGAAGTTCTTTTATTGTACAGAATTGTTTTAGACATTTTAGATTTTTTATTCTTTCCAAATGAAGTTGAAGTTTGCTCTTTCAAGGTCTGTAAAGAATTGTGTTGGTATTTTGCTGGGAATTGCATTGAATCTGTAGATTACTTTTGGCAGGATGGCCACTTTTACTACGTTAATCCTACTGATTCGTGAGCATAAGTGATCTTTCCATCTTCTGATAGCTTCTTCAATTTCTTTCTTCAGAGATTTGAAGTTCTTGTCATACAGGTCTTTCACTTGCCTGAATAGAATTACACCAAGATACTTTATTATATTTTTTGGCTATTGTAAAGAGTGTTGTTTCCCTAATTTCTTTCTCAGCCCTTTTATCATTTGTATAAGAACTGATTTTTTTTTTTGGAGTTAATTGTGTATCCAGCCACTTTGCTGAAGGTGTTTATCAGTGTAGGAGTTCTCCGGTAGAATTAGAGGGTCACTTATGTATACTATCATATCAGCTATGAATAGAGATCCTTGGATTTTTCCTTCCAGTTTGTATCCTTTTGATCTCCTTTAGCTGAATAGAAATGGAGAGAGTGGGCAGCCTTGTCTTGTCCCTGATTTTAGTGGAATTGATGTGAATTTAATGTTGGTTGTTGGTTTGCTGTATTGTTGTTTAGGTGTGGGTGCATTTTACTTCTCCCGTGTTTGTCAAGAACCCTAAGGGTGGGAGGGGTGCAGCCCCCCATGAAGACTGTGAGTGCGGCAGTGAGCCACACCACCCCAGTCTCAGTGGGGTCATAATCTCTAGATGGCCCAACTCCAGGGACCACCTTTGTAGAAATGACACCTCCTAGGCCTGAGCAAGAGGAAGCTGAACAGGAAAAGTACAATTTTAGGAGGAAAGAGATGATAAACAAGTATTAGACACTTGCCTGTTGCTGCAGCAGGGGACCTGACAGCTTTGAGGAGGAAGGGGCTGATTTTGGCTCAGGGTTGCAGGGGACTGTCCCTCATGATGGGGTGGGTATGGCAGCAGGGAGCAGGAGGCAGCTGGTCCCATGTGTGCACGGCAAGGAAGCAAAGAGAGACACATGCTGGTGTCCAGCTCACTTTGTGCAGTCCAGGACCCCAGCCTGTGCGACGGAGCCACCCCTGGTCACGGTGGGTCTCCTCACCTCAGTCCAATGTAGCAACTCCCTCAGAGACTCGCCCAGAGATCCGTGTCCATGGAGATTCTTAGTCCTACCAGGCTGACATTCCAGATTAACCATATGGACAAGTAAAGTGACTTAACAATGAATAAATATGAGTGCCCTGGGAGGAGCCTGGGCCCTGCCCTAGACAGTGCTCATGGGAGCCCCTCTCAGGTGAGGTAAAAGCTTGTGTGAGGGAAGAGAAAGTGTCCCCCATCTGGTATCAAATCCAGGAGTCGGTTCCTGTTGGTGCCACCTAAGCACGGGACTCCCCAAGTTTTGGCAGGGCACCAGCCAGGTTGTCAGGTTGCTGCCCCCACAGGCTGAGAGGTTCAGTTGAGGTTGTGAAGTCTCCCGTTTCTAAACAAAAGAAGTATGTATCACCCCCACCCAGCCAGTGCCTATTGTGGGGGGTTGGGGCAGGTTGTGAAGGCCAGCTGGCCAGAAGGGAGACGTTAGGGAGGGCTGGGGAACTGGAGCCAACAGACCCTGCCAGAGACAGGTTGTCATGTGGGAACTCTTGCTCAGTGTGACTAGAATTCCAGCTGCCGAAGAGGCCTCCTGGGCTGCGTGTTCTAACCATAGGTAATGATAACCAAGGATCATGGTGAGGGTCACTGGCCTGGAGTGTTGCAAGCCGCCATTCTGATCTATTGGATTTTGTTAGCGTTTTTGTCTCCCCTCCCTGCAAACCCACAGGAAGGTTGAGGGCCCAGGCTTCTGTGTCTGATAAAGATGACCAAACTAGGGGGGTTCTCCATACAGAAATGGGCTGATCCACAGATGCATGCTCTTAGCTGGCCCAGGGAATTCGACTGGGCCCAGAGTTACCAGGACTGTGGGTACAGACACTGAGCAGTCACTGAGGAGACAACTAGGCATTGCTGAGAAGGCCTGGGAGCACCTTGGTGAGAGCACCTTGGTGAGAGCACCCCTCTGTAGCAGAGTTAGCTTAGGAGATGGTCAATCCAGACCCTGCTGGCTCCCTGGATATGGACAGTGTTAGGAAATCATTGCTCTGGGCCTGTTCCCCCCACCCCCATGACTTCTGAGTGATTCAAGTAAGGAAGCAACCGCTGGCATCCACTTCCAGCCAAAGGGAGTCCCCAACAAAGCCGGGCCATGAGACTAAAGCTGATTTACCCAGGCAGATGAGCCGGGATGGAAAAAGGAGCCTTGAGACCTAGCCTTAGGCACCTTCTTGTCTAAATACAAGTGCTCCAGCATATAGCCCAAAGCTTGCTCCAAGCCAGGTGTGCACTTGGGAGGTTGAGGCAGAAAGATAATGCTGTTGAGACCAGCCTGGGTTACACAGCAAGACCCTGACTCAAGCAACAGAAGCCATACCTCCCGCCACACACTCCTGGCTAGAGGTATTCTTGTGAAGAGGGAGAACCCAGTTCTGTCCAGGACCCCTAAGGGCAAAGGGACAAGCCCCCACCAGTCTCTGGCCAGGGAAGCCCTGCTCTTCCCTTCAGGAGGCTGAAAGAGCCCTCTCAGCAACCCAGCTGCATTCGGGGGAAAGCAGATCTGTCTGGCTTGAGCAGTTTCACAGAAACAGTTGGCAGGGGAGCAGGGACAGCTGCCCGTGTCTGAAAGGGAAAGGCTCTGGGGAAAGCAGAGCTTTCTAGCTGCCGGGGGAGAAATTGGAGCGGTCTGGCAACACAGTCCTTCCCCACCGGCAACAGCCAGAGGCTCTGAGGGCCATGTCCATGGACACAGTGCCCCCCTCTGCCAGCTTTTGCTGGGTGTGCCAAGTCCCAGGAAAGACAGGGAGCAGGGAGACTGAGAAGTTCACTGCTACCCCCCAGAGGGCTGGGCCTGCCAGGTGGGAAGGAGGCACTCCAACTGTATGACCTAGGGATTGGGACAATTGCCGGCGGGGGGGGGGGGGATGCTAAAGCAAGGATGGAGAAGGGCCAGCCGATGCAGAAGCCTCGCTGTGGCAAGGACGTGCCAGGAGGCTGAGGGGAGAGGACAGTGAGATGCTTCCGAGCACAGGGCTGAAGGTTAGACCTTGGTTGCAGGGTGCTTGAGTGGAATCCCCTCTCTGGTCCAGCCATACATCTCTTCCCGCTGGGAACTCTGGGCCAGTCTCTCCTCCTTGCTAGCTAACATGTCTTCCTGTGAGGGAATTAGACACACGGCATTCAAGAAACCCGAACGTGTCCAGCCTCTGGGTCTGAGAGATGCAGAGAAATGAGACCCAGCCCTTGCCCTCAGGAAGCTCCCTGTCCAGTGGGGACTGGACAGAAGAGCAGTCAGTAATGATTCTACCTGCAGAGCGGAGGAAGAGGCCGAGGCCTCAAGGCAGAGAAAATAGTACGTGTGATCGGGGAGTGTGTGTCCTGTGCATTTGTGTGGAGGCCAGGGGTTAACGTTGGTGTTTTTCTCAATGGTGCTCCGGTTTTTTAAGTGCATGTTTTTATTTGTGGGGGTGGGGGGACAGGCCCAGAGCAATGGTTTCCTAACAATGTCCACGTCCGGAGAGCCAGCAGGATCTGGATTTACCTTCTCCGAAGCTAATTCTGCTATAGAGAGGTGCTCCCGCCACAGTGCTCCCCAGCACAGAGGCCCACCCTCTCAGCAATGCCCAATTGTCTCCTTAGTGCGTATGCCCACTTGTCCACACACGGCGACCAGGGATGGACTTGACTAGGGCATCGAGAGAATGAAGAAAAGACAGAGCGAGCTGGCTTTGGGTGGACTGGGCTAGAGAAGGCTCAGCACTCTGGAAGTGAAGCCTATTTATTGTATAGAGTTGAACAGCGAGGCGGGGTTATTGCATACCCGCCAAACCAGGAGGCAGGCCTTACGGTCTACAGCTGGATCGAGGAATCAGGGTTAGCTAATCGTGGTAGGAGCAGTCTCCTGTCAGCGTGCTGTGGACCTATGTGGAGGTCAGAAGATAAACAAGGGGCCGCAGTTCTCTGTTCGCGCCTTCCTGGAGGGTGCCAGGAAGCGAACTCGGGTCTTCAGACTTGGCAGCCTGCCTGCTGACCATCTCTTCTACCCTCCAGCTTGGCTTTCGAGGCCGGCTCTCACAGCGAAGGGATTCTGGGAGATTGGCCAGCACTACCCCAGAGCTATGATCACAGGCACAGGCTGCCTCGTCTGGCTCTTCACGTCTGTGCTGGGGTCAAACCCAGGTCCTCAGGCTTGCCCAGCGAGCGCTTTGCCAGCTGAGCCATCTCTCCGCCCTGAGAACCCCCCTGCCCACACACACACACCTTCTGAAGTATTCTCATGTGTTCTCTGAGCAGCCAGACCCCAGACCTGGAGGAAGGTCCAACCCGGAGCAGGTTGAAAGAGCAGGGAGGACCCTTCGTCTAGCAGAGAGACTGGGTGACACACAGGCCTCCGCCTGGGATTCATTAGGCCGAGGTGACCTGAGAGTACAGCAACCGGAAACATTCTCAACCACAAGGTCCTCTACAGGCCCAGAGTCACAATGCCTGGCTAGAACTCTCTCAACCATTAAATATCCCATTTATCATCTAAGAGTTCCAGAATCTCTAATTAGAGACAAAATCCTAATAATCGCAGAAAATATAATTTCTTAGTGTCTCCATGATTGCTTTTGCTCTCGGAGTATAGCATCTAGAGTCTAGATTCATACATTGCTTTTCCTATGGGGAGGCTGACTCCTCCTGACACTTCCCAGACATATAACCAGCCCAGTCATCATTTTGGTTTCTTTTTTCTTTTCTTTTCTTTTCTTTTTTTTTTTAAATGATTTTGTGTGCATTGGTTTGTTTTGCCTGCATGTATGTCTGTGTGAGGATGTCTGATCTCCTGAAACTGGAGTTATATGTATCACCAATGTCCAGCTTAGTAACATGTTTTTATTGTTAGGTTTTTGTTTTGTTTTTCGTGACAGGGTTTCTCTGTGTAGCCTTGGCTGTCCTAGACTCACGTTGTAGACCAGGCTGACCTTGAACTCTCAGCCTCCTGCCTCTGTCTCCCCGGAGCACTGGAATTACAGGCATGGGGATTACCATGCCCAACTTTTTTTTTTTTTTTGAGACAAGGTGTTTCTCTCTGTAGCTTTGGCTGTCCTGGAACTCTGTAGACTAGGCTGGTCTGAACTCAGAGATTGCCTATCGCTGCCTCCCAAGTCCTGAGATTAAAGGTGTGTGCCACCAAGCCTGGAAGTCACATAATTTGTTGTTTTTTAATCACAAAAGTAAAAAATTTGACTCTCTTCTACCCTCCCCCCCCCATTTAAGAACTTAAATTTGCTTTATTTTCTATGTATGGTGTTTTGCCTGCTTGTATGTCTGTGCATCAGACAGCAAAGATAAGCGGAGTGCTTCAGACCCTTTGCAAATGGAGTTCCAGATGCTTGTGAACTGCCATGTGGGTGCTGGGAATTGAACCTGGCTCCTCTCCTGGCTATAGAAGAATGGCCAGTGCTCTTAACTCCTGAACTATCCTCCCCTCTGGGCATGATGGTGATCCTCAAAGAGGCAGATACAGGTGGCTGTGAGTTTGAGGCCAGCCTGGTCTACAGAGCTAAGCCAGCAAGTACTACACAGTGCAACCTGTCTCAAAAGCAGTAAGTAATATGCCAGGCAGTGGTGGCTCACAGCTTTAATCCCAGCGCTCAGGAGGCAGCCTGGTCTACAGAATGAGTTCCAGGACAGCCAGGGCTACACAGAGAAGCCATGTGTCCGAACAAAACCAGGCAACTTAAAAAGAATAAAAGTGTAAGGCTTGAGCTGGGCATGGTGGTGCGTGCTTTTAATCCCAGCACTTGGGAGGTAGAGGCAGGAGGATCTCTGTGATTTCGAGGTCAGCCTGGTCTATGACACAAGTCCAGGACATCCAGGGTTGTTACACAGAAAAACCTGTCTTGAAAAACAACAAAAAAACAGTCCACGACAGCCAAGGCTTCACAGAGAAACCCTGTCTTGAAAAACAAAACAAGTGTAAGGTTTGGTGTGTAGCTCAGGGCTAGAATGCTTGCTCAGCATGCATGAAGTCCTGGGTTCCACCCAGAACTGATTTAGCTGAAGGCTCTGGAGGCGAGAAGCCCTGGAGTACAGCGCTGGCACCTGCCTGGTCTCTATCCAGTCCTTGGCTTTATTTCAATTTTATCAGCTTTCCCATCTTAGAGACACGCACCGTAAACTCTGTCCTCCGGCTGTCACTTCTCTCTGGACTTGGAGGGTTTTCTTTCTTCAATTGTGTTGCCATTGGACGTGTCTCTTTTTAAGGGTTTTGGAATTTGAATCATTGCTGTTTGGTTCTAGTGCTAGCTACGGTTTATATTTGCATTTAACCAGTTACTCCGATGGGCGCTTAGCCCATCTGCAGGCGTTTGGCTCTGACTTCACCTTTTCTTTGGTGGCTGTGCACAGGGTGTTGGAGCAGACGCTGGAAGGCCCCTCACCCATTTCCCTTGCTGGAGCAGATCCCCAGGGTTGGTTTTTCCATCCCTCGCCAGCTCTTGGAATCTCCTAGGGCCTATGAGTTCCTACAGGGCAGCAGAGGCTGCTCACCGCCCAACGCCCCCCCCCCCCCCCCCCCCAGTTTTCTCCAGGAATCAGACGTGGCACAGGAGGGCATGGCTAAGCCTTCCTAGATGGGCAGAGTTGTCCATCACCCGTGGCAGGCCCGAGTTGGGCCATGAAGGGAATGACACTCAAACTCTCCATTCCTCTGACAAGGAACACCATGGTTTTTGATTATTCGCTATTTCCTACTGTTTAAAGGTCCAGACAAGCAGTTTCTTTTGCCGAGATGAGAGCTGGGGGCATGCAATCGCTGGGAGTTAAGGCAAGACTGGTCTACAGTAGTGAGTTCCAGACTGTCAAGGGCCACATAGTGAGCGCCTATCAGAAAAAGCAAAAGAGAGAAGGAAGGAGAGAGCCTTATTGTCTCCCCATCATCCTGCACTGTTGCTCAGGGTCTGGGGAGGCACCCACCTGCTGTGGGCAGACAGCCTTGGCCAAGCTCTGCTTTGGAAGCATCCCAGGACGAAAGCCCAGGGCTGGCTGACATTAGGGCGGCTCTCACCAGCCCAGATGGAAGGCGTGAGCCCTGTGTGAAAAGACCGGGACTTCCGTGGGAAGTCGGGTGAGCCCCTCCTGTGGCACTGAAGCCACCACGCTTTGTGCTTTCTCCAGGTCTGGTGCTGAACAGGGACCGGAGGATCTCCTTGGTAAGTGCCTCTGTCTTCTGGCTTCCTTCCTAGTTTGGCTGTGGTCCCTTTTTAAAAGTAGTTTTAAAGTTCTATGCACGATGTGGTATAGTCACGTTGCCCACGTTAGCTGCCTGTAAGTGTACTCCTGCGTGGTTTTAAATATACTGTTTTGGGTAACCTTCACCAACACCTATGACCCAACCTTCATCATCCTCAGTGAGCACTGAACCCATTAAACACTAAGTCCTCACTCCCCATCTCTCCAGTCATTTACTTTTCCATCCCTGTGAAGTTCTTGTTAGGTACCATGAGCAGGTAGAGTCAGCGTTTGTCCCTCTGTGCCTGGTTTCTTCCGCTCAGCATCATGCTTTCAGATCCTTCCGTGATGAAACACACATCCAAGTTCACTGCTCTGTAAGGCTGAACACTAACTATGCTGGTTGTCTTTACTCCCAGCACGTGGAGGCAGAGGCAGGAGAATCTCTGTGAGTTGAGGCCAGCCTGGTCCACTACTTTTTTCTGTAAGCATTTCTTTATATCCATCTATTTATCTCTCTCAGAGAGAGAGAGAGAGAGAGAGAGAGAGAGAGAGGAGGAGGAGGAGGAGGAGGAGGAGGGAATCCTGTGTGGAAGTCAGAAAACAGCTAGCAGGGGTCTCTTCTACCATGTGAGTGTCATGGATCAAACTCGGGCAGCTGGGCAGCAAGTGTGTTTACCCACTGAGCCATCTTGCTGGCCCCACACCACATTTGCTATGTTCATTCCATGCCCTCTGCTGATGGACATCAGGGTTTCATGTCATGGCAATTGAGAACAATACTGCTGGAACCTGGGGTGAAATGTCTGAGTCCTTGCTTCCAGTTCTTGGATATGCCGGAAGAGGATTGCTGCAGCCCATGGGACCATGGGACTGAGCTTTTGAGAAATTGTTGAACTGTTGTCCACAGAGATTGCACTGTTTCATGTTCCCACCAATGATATACAAGGGTTCAATTTCATCCCCAATCTCTGTGTCTCTCTGTCTGTGTCTCTGTCTCTCTCTCACACACACACAGAGGTGCTGGGAATTGAACCCAAGGCCTTGCACGTGCTAGGCAAGCAACATACTCTGAGCTATATCGACATGTCTTTTCATACATGGGCCTGGATGTGGACACACCCCCTTGTCCCAGGACTCTGCCCATGTACCCTTGCTAAAGCAAGTCTCTCACAGACATTTGCAGAGTGAAGGAAGCCAGGCACAAAACACAACTGTAGGAGAGAGAACACAGAAGTTCTCCTCTCAAGGAGGACCTCTTGAGTCTAGGGCAGTATCAGGGCACATTGTCCTGGGTCCAGGACTCACACCCTATGTCCTGTGCAAAAGGCCTCAATGCTGGCACTTAGTTCATTCTGACCTTGCTGTCCACCTTTTCTTATTACTTAAAAAAATTTTAAAAAGTGGGTCAAGAAATTAAACTGGAAGAGGCTAAGAGATGCTGAGGGATAGAGGCAGCTGATAAAGAACCCAGGAGAGGCCCCCAGTGTGGTGAGCCCCCCAGTGTGGTGAGCCCACAAAGGCTTTTATGGAGGAATGAAATTCCAAAGCGCTTCAGGTCTGCAGGCATGAGTGGAGGCTGTATTCCTTAACCCTTGCCTTGGGACCGACTTAAAATTTGAGGCCTGATTGTACCTTTGAGCCAGACAACCCCAGTTCCTGGGGAAAAGGAGGGAGGCCAAGGCCTAAGCCTCCACCTGACTGCCTGGTGTCACCTCCTGTGAGCTGTTGGCTGTGGTCAGGTTGGTCTGGGGCCTCTGCTGCGCCCCACCCCCGTGAAGCCACTGCGCAGCCTGCCCTCCCTGGGAGGCAGCCGGCTGGGCCTTGTCACAGCTGAGGTATGAGAACCAGAATAAGGCTGTGAGACATTGCCGGTTGATGTGGGACTCTGCTTTTGAGGACGTACCCGTCTGAGGAGGACAAGGGGAGACCTTGTTGTGCGTCTGTGTGAGCGCACATGTATGTAAGATGTATGTGTGCATGTGGAGGTCAAAGCCCAACCTTTGGTGGTGGTCCCTAGCCACAATCCTCACATATTTACTTTTCTTTCCCTCCCTCCATCCCTCCCATTTTGTAGACCAGGCTGGCCTTGAACTCAGAGATCCACCTGCCTCTGCCTCCCCCAGTGCTGGGAAGATTACAGGCGTGTGCCACCATGCTTTTTTGAGATGGTCTCAAACTTTCCAAATTGGCAAAGCCGGCTGGCCAGCAAGCTTCAAAGATCCACCTGTCCCTTCCTCCTGAGAGCCACGATTATAGGAATGGCACACTATCCGCAGTTGTTTCCATTTGTTTTAAAACATGAAGTCTGCGGACCAGTCTCCACTGTGCAGGCTCGTGAAGGGAATGAGCTCTGCTGGCAGAGCCCACAGCTGGCCCATGCTCCGGGAAGGGTCTGCAGGGCTCTCTTTAGTCCTGAGAAAGTCCAGAAGTAACCTGTGTTGCTTCTCTGACAGCCACACCCCGTTGTAAATGACCCCAACAAGGGAGAAGACTAGATAATGGGGGAGGGGTCAGAACTTTTGCGGATGGACGTTAAGAGGCCTTGACTTAGAGGACACTGGCCTCCTGGGGTGGGTGGCCCAGCTGGCCTCACTGGACTGACTGCAGGAGTACATGAGACTTCGTGACGAGGACTCACCCTGGTTTTGTCTCTGCAGCCAGAGAACAGCTTTGACTTTGTGAGCAAGGAACTGTTTATGCACTCCTTGGGGAGCCTGCAGGCCAACGTGCTGATGATCAAGTGAGTCTGGACTGAGTGCCCTGGAGACACGCAGAGAGTAGGGAGCCCTAGGAGGGAGCCTGGTACAAGGTGCCTTGTTCTCCCAGCCTGACACCACACTGCTGCTGGCTCAGACCTTCTCAGGAAGCAAAGCGAGAGAGAGGTGGCCTGGGAACAGGGTGAGGACTGCACCATGGCTCAGCTGGCCTCTGGGGGAGCCTGACTTGTGCCTGTGCTTAGGACAGGCACAAGTCCTCATGCTGAGGAATCGGAATGCACTCGGTAGGAACTGCACAGGCAATCTTGGGGGGTGGTGGTAAGAAGCCCCACTCTCTTAGGAAAGACTGTCCTCTGACTGAGTGCATAGGGACGCCCTTGGGGCACTAAGGGGACACGCCCCTAGCCAGATCAGCCAAATGAACCCTGATTGTCTGCACATCCAGGAACTTTGAATTGGGAACTTTTCCTAGGCTAGCAACAGTTGGTCTAACCTGGTCTTTCCCTTGATGCTTGGTGGTAGCAGCAACAGGGAAACAGCAGTGGGCTGTTTGCTTGGAGGCTTAATGCCTTTTTTTAACTTAAATTTTCAGCTCATTATGGAGTTGGGGTAATGTTAACACCATCATACATCAAGGCAAATCTCAGAGCCACGGAATTGGCTGGGCATGGTGGCTCACACGTGTAATTCAGGGTTAGGAAGAGCACAGCAAGGCTGGGGCAAGCCTAGACTGTAGTGGGTCTCAACTGGGGAGGATGGTTGTATGATACATACATTGTACCTCAATAGAATTGGGGGGGGGGGGAAGAGGTTGTTTTGTTTTGTTTTTTGTTACTTGGTTTTTTTTTTCTGTAAGAGATTCTCTGTAACAGCCCTGGCTGTCCTGGAGCTCACTTGCGAGACCAGGCAGGCCTGCCCCTTCTGGGATTAAAGCTGTGCGCCACCAGCGCTGGCCTGCCCAACCTCAATGGGTTTTGTTTTAGTCTGGTCGGGAGAGCCCGTTCAGATGCCAGGGCAGCACTCAGCGGCCCTCCCTTTGCACAGTACTGAGAGCCACGTCCTGGCAGGCATTCCGCTGCTAGGCTGCTACCAGCTCTAAGAGAAAGCTGGTACGAGAAGGCTGGACCTTGGCAAGTCTAGGGTCAAAGAGACAGATGAAAACCAGAGGGCAGAGGGCTGTCAAGATGCAGAGCTAGGAGGCACCCCAACCTCTTGCCGCCCAGAGCAATGCAGGGCTACTCTGGCGTGAGACGAGTCAATGATGATGACAAGGGGCCCTTGGTCTTCATGGTGGACACACTAAGATCCGTCCTAAAGGAGGTAAGGGGTGTGGCCTGGGGGGCAGGTGGGCTGGGTGTGCCTCTTGCACTGAACCCCACCTCACATACAGTCCCTCAGCTGCTTTGGATGTCCTGGGTTGGCACTACACCGTATCTGAGGAGCTGGCAGGCCCCATCCCTCCAGGCCAGTCTCCAGAAGCCTGGGGCATGTAGTCAAGAGGTCAGGAGACACAGCTTTTGCTGGCAGAAATCCTGCTTTATTGCCCTTATGTACCTCCTGGCCAGCCTTTGTTCTGGGGCGCCCCTCCTAGGACCAGCACATTGGCAAGTATTTATGGCTACTGGGAGGCTCGTGCTGGCCTGTGTCTCTATGCACAGCTTGATGCTCTCACAAAGGGGGCTCTTCTGTTTGGCAAGCTCCTGCTGCAGCCTGCCTTTCTTTGATGGCGTCATCGCCAACAGAACTGGCAGTGACTGTGGCTCCCTGCTCTAGGACAGTAGCTTCCTAGGCTACTGTGAACAGAGGAGAGGTTGCCTCTGACCCACCTCGAACTCCACGGGAGAGTCTCCTGAGTGGGCAGTATCTCACCGCCTGCCCCCCTCTCTCCAGCGGTTCCAGTATGTGGAAGTCCCAGGCAATCACTACGTCCACATGAGTGAGCCCAGCCTTGTGGCTGGAGTCATCAACTCCTTTCTACAGAGCCAGGCCAAGATGACCCCAGAAACCCCTGCGAGGCTGTAGCTCTGGACTGGGATCCTGTTCACAAGTTCTAGCTTCCACTGGGTCTCGAGCACCCTCATTCTACCAAATAGGTGGGCGTGGGTCTCACTGGGCTTGGAAACCAAGAGGGGCAGGGAAAAAGAGACTCTGACCTTATCTGTGACCTCAAGGAGGGGACAAGGAGTCCAGGACTGTGTTTGGTAAGCTGCAGTGAACTGGTAGCACGGAGGAAGCAGGCCTGGGCCTCTGCGCTCAAAGGCTTCTGGAGCCTGTCCTTGCCCCAAGCCTGTGTGGAAATAAAAATCTTCTGCCTTCACTGCACTCCATGTGGCTGTTGCCAGCAAGGGGCTTCATGGAAGGCAACTGGGTCAGAAGCAGACATGCAGGAAGGAGTAGAGGTAGCTCTCTGAAGGCCAAATCTTCCTGCAGGGCAGCCCCACCCTTCACATCCAGCCTGTGCAGCTGCAGAGATGGACCTGGGTGACACAGCTGCTTCGTGGCTTGGTATCTGCTTCCCAGAGCGTGGTCCCTGAGGGAACAATGGGTCTGCTGGTCTTGGAGCCGGGGCCGGAATGGCTCAGTAGGGTCGGAATTTGCGTTGGGCTCTCATCAGTTCGATCTTCTGCTTGTCCTCTTCAAACTTCTTTCGCAGCTGTGCTAGGTCTGAGAGGCAGAGGACATAGGGCAGGTCACACAGCATACAGGAACTGCCAGCTACCCCACTCAAGAGCCCTCCTCACCCTCGCGGCTGAGGGCGGCGCTGCACCCTGGCTCAAGGTCGGAATCCTGCACGGATCCTAGACATTTAGCTACAGCCACTCCTAGAGGGCTAGGCTGCAGCAGGAAATGATGGTGTGGGAAGACGGGACAAGAGTACCAAAGCAGCAGGCCCAGGGGCACCTTTCCCAAGATGTGGCCTTCAAGTAGGGGGCTCCAGAAAGCGGTAAATGGTCACCAAGTGCCAAGTTAAAGAAGTGGCAGCTGGAGCTCTGAGGGAGGGTGGATAGAGCCTGCTCAGGTGGGTGAAAGGTGCAGCTTGGGGTCTAGAGACAGGGAGGCAGCTGTCAGTGCCAACAAAGGTGGGGTCTGGAGGCAGCTGTCGTGCCCACACCATGCTCAGGACAGGACCAGGCTCTTCTCAGAGCCACAGGGAAAGGGGTGCGGGCTGGGTGCAATACTCAAGAAACCCTGCCCTGCAGGTTTCTGCCCCAGGTGCTCTGGGGATCTGGAGCTGAAGCCCATATCCCAGGTGCTTCTGCCATGAGGCTAATCTCTCTCTTGGGGCCCTCAAGTGTCTCTTACGCTCCATCTTGCTCTCCCGGTGCTGCCAGGCGTAGAAGTTGAGAAGCTCCTTGCGGGCTCGCTTCCGTTTCTCCTTCTCAAGAACTCGCAGGCTGGCCGCTTCCGTTCGAGGGAGCACAGGCCTGCGGCCCCGGCGGGTCACCTTCACCCAGCCCTCCTCATCAGGGACCCCCTCCTCCTCCTTGGCCTTAGCCTCCTCCTGCATGGAAGAAGCTGTTGATGCGCGGGGCTCTGCAGCGGCAGGATGCCCCTCACTGGCTGGAGGCCCACTGCCGCCTCCTGCAGTGACAACCACTTTTTATATCATGTCTGCTGGCCAGAATGGCCCCACAGTCAGTGCTGGAGGACAGACACATCAGTGACGGTTTCTTCAGTGTCACGGACCATTTAAAGCCCATGTCACCCAGCCAGGTGGCTCAAGTTTCAGCAAGCAAAAAAATGGGAGCCTGCCCTCCTCCTGGTAACCAGTGGCAGGCTGCCGCCACCATCCCCTTCACAAGGACACTACAGTACACAATACTTGTGGTGCCAGCTTCCCACGGCTACCTAAGTGACACCTGGGGGACCTGCTGGAGTCCCTACCTCAGCTATTTTCTTGTCATAGGCCTCCATGAATGTGTCTACTTCAACTCTCAGGGCCTCGGGGTCAGGCACTGAATCTTCATAGTCGCTGATCCACTCTGAGGGAGGAGGAGACATGGTGTGAGGCAAACAGCATCATGTGCGGTTTAGACTTGCTGAAAGTGGACAAGATGGCTCAGCTGCCAAGATGCAAGCACTTGTTGCTCTTGCAAAGGACCCGGGTTCAGTCCCAAGATCCAACATGGCTCCCAACCACCCATAACTCCAGTTCTAGGAATCCACCTATATACACACAAAATATCCTTAAATTTTAAACAAAGCAAGTAAGCAGACTCCGTGAGAGGCCTTCCCTTGAGGGGTTCACCCCAGCTCCCTGGTTCTCTTCCAGGGAAAAGGAAAAGCAGCAAGCAGCTAAGAGTCCCTTAAAAATAGCTAGCAGGCAAAGGACTCCCAGCAGATGGCACTATTTTTTTTTATACCGTGGAATAAAAGCGCTGGAGTGGGAAGGGAAGGAGCGCCTGCAGACTGCCTCAACCTCCCCAGTCATTTTGCTGGGCAGCCTCGGCCCACTTGATGCTGCCGCCCTCGGCCAGCCTACTCCAGGGGTCTGCATGGAGGGGCCGATTTGAGGCTGCCCTGTTATCACACTGCTGCTTGCTCTCTGCCGGCGCTGGCCATAAACACTCATTCAAAACCAAAACTACAGCTACCGTAGAACATTTACTAGCTCATACCGAATACAAAAGTGACTGGCTCAGAGTGGACCTTCAGGCTGCACCCAGACAGGCCGGCAAGCTGGGATCCTCCTGCAGAGGCCCCTGAAGCCCAGGGACTTGAGGCCCAAGGTTTAGGTGCTAGGAAGATTCTATTGGCAGCACGCTGGGCCCTACCTTCCTTACCTGGCGCTAAAGGCTCAGGCTATTTCGGATGTGTCTCAGACATAGCCCCCCAGCCTAGGCCCTTAGGAAGAGGGGGACTCAGCTTGTGGCATCCATGGATGCTGCCCCTGGAAAGTGTCTCTCACCAACCCAAGGCCCACGAAGGAAGCACTGGACACCGCCAGCGGTACTGACTCTGAATTCCGCTCTTCACAGGGTGGCTCTCTGTAGAAACCAGCAATGGGCCCTTCAGGTTCAAGGCAGCAGACACGCCACTTGGCTTCTGGAATACCACATAAGCAACCTGAAAGCCCTGTGGGGATTAGAGGGGAGAGAGGCGTGTGTGGAGTCTTCCCACTTGTGGCACAAGGCCCTGGCAGCTGCCCGGGACCAGGGGAGATGACGCTAGGCAGTTTTGTGTGTCACCCCCACAGTCTGAGTGATGGGGAGCCATACTCCCAGCTAGCCAACTGCTGCTGGGACACCTGTTCTAGCTCTTCCCTCGAGGAGGGGCACACAATGGCTCAGGCAAGAGCAGGCTCACCCCAGGCTAGGGCAGGTTATCAACAGACAAGGCACAAACTCAGGGTGACTCCCTTGCACCTCAAGGCCACATGAGGGACGTGGGGAGAAGAGACAGGAGTGGGGCTCCTGAAGCCAGGGCGCTAGTCCCGAGGAGGAAAGTGCTGAGAGAACACAGGGCAGAGGGAAACCTGCAGGAAGTCAAAGAATATGGCACACCTGGAGAGCTGGAGGCCATCACCACGACAACCCCGAATCACACCCCAGGCCCTGCCCCAACTCCAGTGGAACCTGCTATCACTGGGCAGCCTACCTGCACCGGCTTGGACTGAAAAAACTTGGACTTCGGCTCCTTAGGGCTCTCGGCAAGGTCAGGCTTCTCCTGCAGCTCTACTGTCTTGATGGCGCCACAGGAGGCCAGGCACCGAGACAGGCTCTCCTACCAGGGCCAGAGAGAAGCAGAGCATGAACACCCACAGGCTCCTCAGAGCCTCCCGACACCCACAATAGCCCAAAGGACTCGGAGCCCACATCTACGAAACCCAGGGCACCTAGGTTCCCACGATAACATGGAGCAGGTATTCCCAGCCTGGGACGGGGCCTAAGGACTTTTACATGACAGCTAATTAAGCTTTACCACCTTAGCCTGAGAGACTCTCTCCAGTCTCAGGGGCTCGGGCAGGCAGAATACACAGAGGTGTGCTCAGCTTTTGACATTCGCCAAGTGTACAGCCCAGCCTGTTGTCCAGATTGCTCTTGAACTTACTGTGTACCCAGAATGGGTACCTTGAACTCCTGGTCCTCATGCCTCCAAATATGAGTTCTGTGGTGCTGGGGATTGTACCCAGGGCTTCATGAAGGCGAAGCCAGCACTCTGCCACTGAGCTACACCCCTAGTTCTAACACTCCTCTTCTCAAAATAATAATAATAATAATCCACCCCACTAGGCATCCCAGCTGATATGTCACCCACCAGGTGATATATGCTGGAAATCTCAGCTCTCAAGGTGTGTGTGATAAAAGAGAGAAAGAAAAAAAAAAAAAAAAAAAGGGAGGCAGGGGGAGGGGAATTATCTCAAACCTCACAATTCATTTTTCTTCTGCAAACTTACACGATAATAATGTAAGTTTGAGAACGTGGAGGGCTGGCCTAGTATGGGAACGCCCTGGGCTCCATCTCCAGCACAGCAAGTAAATAAATTTAACTTCTTAGATTGAGAAGTTTGTTTGTTTTTCAAAACAGAGTAGCCCTCAATGTCATGAAACTCAATCTGCAGACCACCAGGCTGGCCTCTGCCTCCCTTTAGTGCTGGGAATAAAGACATACCCCATCAACGCCTTGCTTCAATTAAAAAAAAAAAAAAAAAATTTAAAGAAGCCAGGTGGTGGTGGGTCACGCCTTTAATCCCAGCATCTGGGAGGCAGAGGCAGGTGGAGCTCTGTGAGTTCAAGGCCAGCCTAGTGTACACAGCAAGTTCCAGGACAGCCGGGGCTACATGGAAAAACCCTGTCTTGAAAAACAAAATAAAACAAAACAACGAAAAGATTTAAAGTTGAGTTTGTGTGTACGTGCATGCACAGCTGTATGTGGTTCCATGTTACATGTATGGAGGTCAGAGGATGATATGCAGGAGTCAGTTTTCTCCTTCCGCCATGTGGGTCTCAGAGATCAAACTCAGGCTATGGGACATGGTGGCAAGTGCCTTTACCCACTGGGCCATCATCTTTTTTTTGTTTGTTTGAGACAGGGTTTCTCTGTGTAGACTTGGCTGTCCTGGACTTGCTTTGTAGACCAGGCTGGCCTCGAACCCACAGAGATCCGCCTGCCTCTGCCTCCCTGAGTGCTGGGATTACAGTTGTGTGCCACCGTGCCCGGCTCTGAACCATCATCTTACCAATCCTCAGCTTCCTTTTTAAACTAAGTGTGGTGGCACATGCCTGTAATGCCAGAGCTTGAGAGGTAAAGGCAGGAGGATCATGAGTTCAAGGCCAGCCTCACCTAAGTCAGTATGAGGCCAACTCAGGCTATAAGAGACCCTGTCAGAAACAAAACAAAATAAAAACAAAGAAATGTAATGGTTTCTGCGAAACATTAAGCATGTCTACATAAAACTGCAGTGATTTTTGTTAACTTGTCTTTAAAAAATGAAAAACCAGCAAGCAAAAAATTGTTAAAAGGATCATTAATTTCCAAGGCAGAAGTGACCACTTATAACTGTAATGAATGGGGGGGAAGGGCGTTGCAGGAGTACAGTCAAGTTTGAGGCCAGCCTGGGCCTCAAATCCAGTAAGTTCTTCAACAGCCTAGGGGATCGTGACACGCTGTCTGGACAGGGAAAAAAAAAAAAAAAGCTCATATTTCAACACCCTCCAATGGGGATTTGTTGGCATGTCCACCTGACCTTCAGGATTCCATAGGACCCATAGCAAGCTCCATTTAGAACCAACGGGTCCCCTGCCAGACGCTTACCTCTGTGCAGTACGGGGGCACGTTGAGGATAAAAAGGGTCCGATTGGGAGGCCACGTGGACTGGATGCCTTCGCGAACTCTGTGCTGTCTCAAGTAGAGGTAATGGGAAGCCTGCTGCTTTTCTGAGAACTTCACTGGAACAGCTAAGAGGGAAAGGAGTGCAGTAGAGAGTCTGGAGTACCCTGAGTTGAGGCCTGGGCCTATGTCACACAGGTTCTTTCTATTTGTCCGTTCCTGCGTCCACCCACGGATATACTCGCCGGGAGCGGGACGAGGGACCACGGTGGGCCGCCGGCGGCTCGGTTCAAGGGCTCCTCTCTCGGGGTACCCGCTGCCTGACACCATCAGCCTCCATCGCACAGGCTGCGCCGCTTGGCACACAACCCTCATCCCTCCGTCTTCAGGTTGGGGCTGACGTGCCTCGACCCCTCATGCCGAGCTAGCCCCACCAGCCCATGAGGTCTACACCGGTGGAATGCCAATATGGGGGTTGGGTCGGGGAATGGGGAACAGCTGCGGCCTCCACACTCGGGAAGCGCTCGTTGAAGAACGAGTCACGAGGTCAGCGGGTAACAAGCTCCTGTCCACGACGAAGCTGCGCCCTGGGCGTCAGGGCGCCAGGTGCTGCCTGGAGGAAGCGCTCTTGAGGCCTCTCTGAGGAATGGCCGCGGAGTCAGCACCCAGAGCCTGAGCTGTGCCCCGAGACCCGACGAGCTGCCGGGACCTCAGGCCACCTGCCTGAAGAGGTCGGTCCCCAGCCCTCAGCCGCTCACCCGAATAGCCCGGTGGGCTTGGTGTGGTCCCCTCGTGGCCGCTCGCCTTGGCTTTCCTCTTGCGGGACACCATCTTGCAGACCCGGAGCGCGGGGCCAGCTGGGAGTTGTAGTTCTGTTTTCCGGCACGTCTGCGTTTCCACGACGACGGCGCCACGCGGGGCTCCGCCCTCTCAGCCCTAGGCCCGCCTCCCAGCTCTTGCCCAGCCCCAAGATTCAGCCTTCCTTGTCAAAATAGGAGGAAGAGGGAGATCAGATTAAGAACACTTGGCTGCTCTTTCAGAGGATCCGAGTTCGCTTCCGATCTGTAACCCCAGTTTCAGGAAGGTCTGACGCCCTCTCCGGCCTGCGTAGGTACAGTACATTCGAGTTTGCACGGACAGACTCTTTAAAAATACATAGTAGGCAGTTTGAATGGTAGTGCAATAGAGGAGGAACGACTGCTGGATTTTGAGCAGAGACGAGAAATGCCATAGTCTCTCCTTAGTGGTTAATTCGACTGTGAGAGGGCAGGGGCTGACCAGCTTGGGGCTGGGACTGTAAACAGAGCCATGGCAGTGGATAAAGGCACTTGTTGCCAACGCTGACATCCTGAATTATATCCACGGAAGAGAAGTGACTTCTGCAAGTTAGCCTCTGACCTCCACATGCACCCCCTAGCATATGCCTCGTGGCATGTGCTCTCTCCCACAAGAAATAAAAGTTGAAAAAGAAAGTAAGTGTTGTGAGACTGGATTCCACTCTGTAGCGTTGGCTGGCCTGGAGCTAGCTGTGTAGACCAGGCTGGCTTCAGTCTCACCAAGATGCCTGCTTCTGCCTCCTCCAGCGCCACACATCAACACACCTGGCAGATTTTTATACTTTTACAAATTGAAGTGAGCCCAGATAAACTTTTCCTGACACTTTTGTGGCCCAGGTTACAGCAAGACCCTGTGTCAAACCTTCTTGGAGGTGGATGGGAGTGTCTCATGTAGCCTAGATGGGCCTGATCACCGATCCTCCTGCCTCCGTTTCCCAAGTGCTGGGATCAAATGTGTGCGCCACCATGATTTATAGACATTACTACATGCTGCTTGACAGGCACCCCACAGCTGGCAGGGTCAGGTCATTCTAGCCCAGTTTCTACTGTTTAATCCCCAAAGTGACTTTTCCTCTTTCCCCTCCCTAGCTTGTTATCTTCTAAAAGATTCTTCTTGGCTAAGATTTTCAAATTTTCTTTCAAGTGTGTATTCATAGCTGCCCATTGAAGTATTTTTATGATGATTATTTAAGACCCTTATTAAAGTTGGGAGTTAGAGGACCAGATTATATGTTCAAGGCCAGTCTTGGCTAGATAGTAATATTGTAAAACCCTGTCAAAAAATAAATAGTAATGAATTTAAAACCTTGTCAATTCCATGATCTCTGCCATCTGGGGGTTGGTGTCCTTTGGAGATTTGCTGGTTCTTGAGAGTTATTGTCAACAAGACATGGACACTTCAGGTACTGTACAGATTTCTAGATTTAAAACCTTTGTTACAGCCAGCCTGCTGCCTTTTCTCCACTTTGTCCTTTTACAAACCTCAATTCATCCATATTCAAGTTGAAAACTTGAGTCCCGTTCTCTCCTACAAAATGCCCGGTGCTGTTCAGTGGGTGGGGAAGGGCTAAGAACCATTCTATTCTATCCCTACCAACAAACTGCTTTTCTAATGCCATAGATCACCCAAGCAGTAAAATATGCCTGTGAGTTTGAGCACTTCAGAGCATTTGTTCATTGTGAACAAATGCCCAGGGCCATCTATACTGAAGCAAACCAGGCCTCACACCTACTGTGCTGGCTAGTTTTATGTCAACTTGACACAAGCTAGTTATCTGGAAGGAGGAAACAAACCTCAACTGAGAAAATGCCTCTGTAAGATCCAGCTGCAGGGCATTTTCTTAATAATTAGTGATTAATGGAGGAGGGTCCAGCCCATTGTGGGTGGGGCCATCCCTGGGCTGGTGGTCCTTGGTTCCATAAGAAAGCAAGCTGAGCAAGCCATGTACAGCGAGCCAGTAAGAGGCCCTTCCATGGCCTCTGCATCAGCTCCTACCTCTGGGTTCCTGACCTGTTCGGGGCTGGAGTGATGACTCAGCAGTTGATGGAGGGTACTGCTTCTGAATTCGGTTCTTAGCACCCAAGTAAGGTGGCTTATAAGCTGCCTCTAAACTCCAGCTCCAGGGGGACCTGGTATCTTTGGTCTCTGTAGGCACCTGCATTCACATGCACTTACCCACACGTGGATATCCACACATGCACATAAATAAAAATGTTTGCAAAGTCAAAGTCAAAAAAAAAAAAAAAAAAGGAAATGCTTGCTTTCTGGCATAAAAGTTCCACTAAGGCCACTGTGGTGCTTTAAATGAGAAATGTCACCAAAGGCTCATGTTATTTGGTGCTGTCTGGTAAAGTTGTGGGACCTTTTAGGAGACAGACTTGCTAGAGGGTACACGCACTGGGTGTGGGCTTTGAGTCTCCCCATGTCCTGTTTGGATGAAAATGTCACTGGCCAGCTGCCTGCTCTTATCTGCCCTGTCACATTGGACTCTCCCTCTGATCTAGAAGAGAGAAATCAACCCTTTCTTAAGTTGCTTTTGTGAGCATGTTTTATCTCAACGACAGAAAATTATGAAATCTACCAAAGTGTTGCTCTAATAAATATGACCACATAGCTTTTATGCCTTTGGGACTTTTTGTGGAAGTCTGGAAGTCTGGGCAGGAAAAAGTGCTTAATGATAGAAACAGAGCAGAATGGGCCATTCTGCTGGGAACCTGGAAGATAATACAAGAAATGTGGACAGCAGAGGCCTGGCTTGTAAGCTTTCAGAGGAAACGGGATAGGAGCCATTCATGTAAGATTTTAGTAAAGAATCTGCCCGCATTCTGTGTTCTGAAAACTTACCTGAGACTGTATTTAAAAACCAACCAACCAATTTCTTTAGCAGAGAAAATTTTAACACTGAGTCTGTGGCAGTTTGAATAGGAATGGCCCCAAGGACTCATGGGTTGGAATAGTGCCCATAGGGAGTGGCACTATTAGCAGGTATGGCCTTGTTGGAGTATGTCATTGTGGGGAGGGCGTAGTGTGGCTGGCTGATTCCTTCTGCCTGAGGATCAAGATGCAGAATTCTCAGTTTCTTCTCCAGCACCATGTCTGTCTGCACACTGGGCATGCTGGCCCAGACCTGGCAGTGCCATTTATATGGTAATGCTGTATATGACAAAGTTGGGAGGCAACATTTTCACATAGCAGAGCTGATTTGAAGAAGCCTGGGTTGCAGATCTCAGACGGTTGAGACATTAGAGCTATGGATATTAGACAGAAAGCTCCATAAAAAAAATGGAATCAGCCAGAGTTTGAAGCAGAGGGCAAAGCTGGAGGAGCAGAGCTACTTAAACCCTTTGAAACTGAAGCCTCTATCACTGGACACAGCCACAAGATTTGGTTTTGTACTGCAGGGTTTTGGTCTTGCTTTGGTCCAATCTCTAACTATGCCCTCATTCCTTTTCTCCCTTTTGGAATGTGAATGTGCATTCTGTGACATTGTATATTTGAAGTAAATAATCTTTTTTGAATTTACATAGCCAGTTAAGAATTTGCTTTGAGGCAAATTCTGAGAAATGACTCTGGTTAAGACCACTGCTCTTCCAGAGGACCAGGGTTTGATTCCCAGCAGCTACAAGGCAACTCATAATTGTAACTCCAGTTTCTCCAGGGGGAGCTGATGCTCTCGTCAGGCATCACGCATACAAAACACACACACACACACACACACACACACACACACAGAAAAAGAGGGGGGAGGGGAGACTGAGATTAGCCTAGGGCCAACAAGAAATGCACAAACACAAAATAAATAATAGTAAAAGCAATTTTAAAAGACATTATAGCTCAAAGTTAGGAATAACAAACATTTATTGAGAAATGGAAAATAAATGCCCCATCCTGCGCTATCTTTCTCTCCTGAACAAGACACAAAGAAGTAATGCAAGGGAGTGAGACATGAGGGTTGGCCACCTTCTTTCTGTTTCCCAAGATGACATTCTGAAATGCAGGAGTGGCATCCCAATCCCCAAGTACCACGTAGCCGGGAGGCTGAGGCTCAGTTCAAGTGTGTCATCCAAAGCACGCCTAGCTCAAAGAGAGCAGGGGACCCAGGAAAGGCTTTGGCCATCCCTACTCTACACAAAGTGAAAGGCATGCCAACTCTTTCCGGTGGCAGAGAAGTCAGGCCCTAGTGTCTAGGGGTATTCTCTTGGGCCACAAGGGTAAAACATGGAGGAATGTCTTCCAGTTGCTGAGAAGAATTAAGCTTGTACCTATTTAGAAGGGTTTCAGAGAAGGCGGCTTCTTTAAGTAGGAGAGTAGAGCAAGCCAAATGCCATTCCTAGATTCCTTGGCTGGGCAATCTCAGAGGTAAAGGACTAATTTTGACTCAAACTAGACCCTTCTACCTGGGCAGACCTAACTCAGGAAATTTTGAATTAATTGAAGTTCTCTTTACGGGCTTAGTCTTCAGATCATGGTGCCTTAGCTTCCTTTACTTCCTCAGCTTGTGCACACTCTACTGATATGTACACTTAGAATCCTGCTCCAGCTATGACAGCTTAGAATCTCCTTCTGTTCCCATCGTCAGGGGGCTACTGATCAGCTCTGGACTACTGCTGCCTGACTCTCAGCAGCTGCCTGAGCCCCACAGTTCTACACTAATAGTCCAGGAGCACACCATAGGAAACTGGCAGGCTGGCTCTATTCACAAAGCAGTCATGGCCGTGTGCAATTACACTAGCAGAAAAACGCCCTGGTGGCAGCTGCACTTTGGGTAACCCTCATTGCTGTTCTATAGCTCACTGAAGCCAGAAAAGCAGAGTCTGAGCCAGCCAATAGCTCTAGTCAATCTCTCCCAAGTCCTTTGTGCTGCAGTCTGAGGTGGAGACTGGAAAAAGGCCCAACTAACCTAGAGCTGGCATCTGCACCAAGCCCAGGCTGTGATGCTGCCCTGTCAGGTGAGACCCAAGAGGGCTAACAGTACAGGTCCCTCCCTCCTCCCATCAAGAATTTGAGAGAACTGGGCCAGCGCCTTTGGCAAAACTCTAACAAGGGAACATCAACTCTGGGATGCCTTTTGGACTGCCTACGCCAGCACAGGGAACCTACCCTGCCCCCATCATGTCTAGAAATGACAAGAGGCCACTGACTTAATGCAGTCACGTCCCCAACCCTCAGCTGACCCAGTGCCCACCAAAGGGCAAGAGGTCCCACTCATTCCCTGTTTTCTTTGAAAACTTCAACAGAACAAGAAAACTCCTGAAAACAAAATAATACAAAAACAGTCTTTCCAACAGCCCCTGTGTCCTGTGTCCCATGGAGCCACAAGAAGGGTCACCCAGGAAAACAGTGCACTGTCCTAGGGAAGAAATCAGCTTTGGGGCCGAGGGTAGGGGAGGCACACCGACAAACACTTCCTAGCTTGGTGATGAGTTGAGGAAGGAGGAAACATACTATAGAAACGTAACACACAGAAGGGCGGGCTGTAGGACAACACAGAAGGGTGGGTCCCGTCCAGTGAGGAAACTCTCCCTGGTGCCTTTCCTTGCTTAGGGGCCTTCAGTCCGACAGCCCATTGGTCTCAAGCTTTGCCTTAGGAAACAGAGCCACCACCCTCTGCCCTGTTTCTGGCTGCCTCACTCCCCCACTCAAAGTTTGATTTTGAATTCTGTGGGCTGTGTGGTCACAGAGGTCCCCGAGGACTTGAAGAGCGCTCTGAGAATGGTATCTGGGTCCACTTCGGCAGGCGGGTTGGAAGAGGAGGCAGGATTTCCCCTCCGAGGCAGCTCACTCTCCTTTTTCACTGAGGGGCTGTCACTCAACCGCCTGTGAGCGAGAAAACCAAATCCCTGTCAGTTTCTCCTTAGGTGGTGCTGGGTCCCACTGAGCATCTAATGGGAGCTAGGAATGGAGTACAATGCTCTCCACATTCCTCTAAATGATGTCATCTTGTAAAAAACTGCTATTTTTTCTTATTTACTGCTAAACAGGACAAAACACCTAGATGCAGCCTGCTGAGTGCTTGAGTTTCACATCTGGAAACACTGCATGTTCTTCAGAAAGTACACAATTCTTTCAAAATCTAACCTAAGTCAACCACATTAATTCTGGTTAACCCAATGATTTAATGTATCAGGTCATAAGAAACCAGTATTTTTTTTTTATTATTTTAAATTATGTGTATATCTGTGCAAATGTGTAAAGATGCTCACAGATCGGTTTTGAGCTGCCCAACAAGGGTGCTGGCAACCAACCCTGGGTCTTTGCAAAGAGTAGTATTCATTCTTATAACTGAACTCTCTCTCCAGCTCCCTTCCAAAACATTTCTAAAGTACAACTAATTCCTGGGACAGTTTTACCATCTACTACCAGGTTCAAATCCTGCCTTTGCATGTCCAAGTCTATTCTAAGCCAAGCCTGCCTGGCATGATTCCACCTATCTTGGCATGTCTCACCTTCCCCCTTTAAAAACAAACAAACAAAATTTTTTTCTACCTTGCCAACCTCAATATTCTTTGTACCTCAGCTCCAAAAAGACCTCAACAGTGATCCAGGGACAGGGGCCTAGGTGTGGTTCAGCACAAGCTGAACATAGTCATTACAGGGAAGTGCAGTTACTTTTCACCAGGAAGTCATACAAGCGGATGTGAGAACTTACTCTCTACTTCCCTCAGAGATGCTGGACATTGTCATATTAGTCTACTGTAATCAAACCCTGGGGACAGTTTCAAACAAACTGCTTGGTTTTAATTCAAGCATCCCGGCCAACCGCTGAGCAACATAACAGAAGAGGTGACTGTGCAGAGTAAACCAGCAGAGACTCTGTGTCAGCCTGTCCCCTTGGCACTTACAGCAGGATGGGTTGGTCTGAGGTGATAACATTCCCATTCATGTGAAGGTTGCACTTCATGGGTTGCCCTGGAAACCAAAAACACAAAAGGCTCCATCAAGAGACCTGTTCCTCATCAGAGGCCAAGACCAAGGGTCAAATTCTACCACCGAAGCCAGGCACGGTGGCACAGCTCGGAAATGTAGGTATTGAGAGGCTCAGACAGAGGATTCCAGGTTTACTGCCAGCCTGGGATACCTAACACAGAACAGAAGCCATCTAGCACTGGGGGTGCAGTGAACTGGCCATTTTTTGAACATGCATCCTACAGAGCTGTGAACTCTGACCTATACCTTAGACTGCACCGAGTCTTTCACCCATTAGGCCCCTAAACTCTATTCTTGGAAAGGTGATTTGAGACATCTCTCCCAATCTCAATACTTAAACCTGTTAATAAACTTTCTATCTTTTGTAAAGCACACCATCACTGGGATGGCATACTAAGTGATGAGAACAGGCCTGGTTAGTAAGTCTATGCCAAACCAATGCTAGTGCTGCCTCTAAGAACCCCAAATAAAGTTCTTGTCTGTAAAAAGAATATAGACTCAGGTATTTCATCACAGCAACAGCAAACCCATGTAGACAGTAAGGAAACCGGAGACTGTGAAGGGTCCTTAGTAATGAGACCAGAAAGCAAAATGGCCAGAACTTTGCTTCACACTGGAGATAGTGACTGTGGGGTGGGGGAGGAACTGTGCAGTGAGAAGCCACTCAAACAAGCCTGTGAGGCACGAAGTAAATGTGTATGCTATGAACCTGTGTGAAAAGCTTGGTATGTGCCACTTGCCTTGTCCATAAAGGATCAAATGCTATGAGCTGCACTCCTGCTGTGAGACACGCCCTGTAAAGGGACCAGAGGTACACAGGACAGCATTCTGTACCCATGTAAAGTCACCACTAACCTGAAACTAATTCTGCAAATCACAATGTGCACTGGAAATCCTTAAGCAATCACAAAGAAAACGACTCAAAATACACACTGAACTCATTCAAGAAACCAAAGTTCAGATTAGTAGGACGTGGGGAGAGTATTGAATCCACTCAAAGGAAAGCAAGGATGCAACTGGGCTGATCCACACTGCTGACCACAGCACAGCCCACCATGCCGTGCTCCGCATTACAGAGCCTTGCACAATTTCCTTTCTCCTAGAACCCTGAATGAACAAGGCTACCAGTGCCACTTTTGGTAGAAACAGTGCTCACATTCTGTCCATTCTGATTTGGTGAATGTGCACCACCTGGAGCTGCCTTACTATTATCACATCTGTCATGAGATACGGTAAGATGCATCCGAATTGTGGGCTCTGGCTAACCCACTGACCAGCCATTCCCGTCTCTCTGTGTTCTGCACATTCCCTCAAGCACAACACTGAAATCACACCAATAATGAGTGGTTTTGTTGGAGACAGTCTCATTTTGTAGCCTAGGCTGTCCTGAAACTATGCAGGCCGGGCTAAGCTGTCTCACACAGTGCTCAGGCATGAGCTCCATGCTCAGCTATGATGATTTAGAGATGGTCACAGGAAGGGAAGAGCTGCATGTCTAATCAATGGTTGCTAGTTAAAGGCACAGAGCCAGAGCTGTAGCTCAGGGGGAGGGTGTCTGCCTAGCATGTGTGAAGCCCTTGGTTTGATCGCCAGCACCAAAAAACAAAAAACCAACAAAACAAAACAAACAAGCAAACAAAAACCCACAAAATAAAATAAAATTGTACCTAATGGTGCAAGCTTGTGATCCCAGCCCTTGAGAGGTAGAGGCTGGAGTATTGCTTTCAGTTTAAGGCCAGACTAAGTTACAGAGAGAGACCTTGTTGTGTGCGAATACTATCACACCCATTAAAAGGAATGGAAGGAGGACACGGAAGGACGGACAAACAACACCCTGCAGAATGAGAGAAAATAACTGTACACCATTTACCTACGGAAAGACCAGATCTACAAATTATATGAAGAACTCCTGTGCATGGTGTAAGGATAGGCATGTATTCATGTGGAGGATGGAGGTCAATATCGCATCTTACTCTATTGCGCTTCACATTATGAGCCATTTCCCTAGCCTTGTGATTAAATGAAGAACCTTTACAACTCAGGATTAAAAAAAAGAAAGAAAGAAAGAATCTAGTTAGGCAGTGGTAACATACTCCTTTAATCCAAGCACTTATGAAGAAGAGGCAGGCAGATTTGAGTTTGAGGCCAGCCTGGTCTTCAGAGAGAGACAGGCAGGGCTACACCGAGAAACCCTGTCTCAAAAAACAAAAACAAACAAAGAAACAAAAAGGATCTAGCTATAGACTGGGAAAGAACAAACATACTGAATAGATATTTCTCTAGAAGATACACACATGACAGATGAGCATATGAGAAGAAGGTCAATTCCATTAGCCACCAGGGAAATGCAAGGCTGTCTTTATTATTCTCTGCCTCTTTGATTCTAGTCCAGGGCCCTGGACCTCAGCAGACTAAATCACATACACAATGAGCAAGTGGAAAAAGAAGCATGGCTCAGCGCTCCTCCAACTGTTTAGCCTGAGTACTACGAAAAAAGCAGTGTATTCCCTGTAGATCTCACCCAGGAGCCAACACAAAGCCAAGACTCCAGGCCTCTGAAACCCGGGTCCCAGCAAGACCACATGTGAAGAGAGAGGCTGGGGTACTTGGTTTTCTCAGCAAGACCCTTTAAGAGACTCCTCTTCAGAGAGGCACTACTCAGAGCGCATGTCACTGCCTCTTCCTATTACCCAGAAGGGCCTAAGGGGTGAGTTCCCTAACACGTCTTTGTACCAATCTCAGAGGACAGCCTACCCCAACCTCTCTAACTTACCGTCCAGACATCGGTTGTTGTACTTCTTATAAGCAGTGATGGCATCATCCTTCTTCACGAAGACAACCTCTGCTACCCCAGGATGGACCAGTCGAGCCCGCTTGAGTGCTCCACACACACAGAAAAGCTCCTGTAAAGTACGGAAGGGAGAAAAACCCTGACTCCTTGCCATTTACACCTTCCAAAGACTGCACTGTGGCCCCATGCCCAGAATCAGGGCAGGTCCTTTTCTGCTGCTAGTCTTCATTTCGTGGCTTGCAGTACCTGTTGACCTCTGACAAAGTCATCCCTCCACCCCCAGGTCAGCAGCAAGAACAGTATCACAACCTCAGAGAGCTCTGTGTCAGAACAGGGCCCAGGCTTATCAAATGCCTTTCAGAAAGCTCTGTGATAACCAGAGAACAGGTGCAAAAGCTCACTAAAGGCAGCTGCTAAGGCATCCCAGGGAGGGAGCTGTTGGAACTATGGATGCTGGTGTTCTACTTCGGATGACTGACAGTCACGGGGTGCCTGATGGAGGGGTTCCCAGGACATGACATGGGATTTTGAGCACTAAAATCAGTAGAGTCCTAGCATAGTAGGCACAAATGAGCAGTGGGCGCTGCCTTCTACCAGCTGAGTGATCACCACTCTCAGGCTGTGCCCTCTCCTGGCTGGCTCCTTGCCTTGGGGATGCTGAGTAGCAGTGACTACAAGTGTGAGCTACATCCTCAGCTCAGCGACAAGGGAAACGGAGGACAGAGAGGGAATACCATGTCAAGACGCAGGAGAGGGGCAAATCAGAACTTACACCTTCTTTTTTCACCTGCCACTCAGTTCTGTTTTGAGAACAAAAAGGCTGATGACAAGGTCTCAAACTGATGTCACTGTACACCCTTGGCTGTCCTAGAGCTCACTTATATAGACCAGGCTGGCTTTAAATTCAGGCGCCTGCCTTTGCCTCCCAGTGCTGTAATTAAAGGTGCACACCACCAAGCCCACCGGCCTTACTGTTGTTTTGTTTTTATTTTTTCTTTTTCCCAGTTTCTCTGTGTAGCCATGACTGTCCTGGAAAGTTTCAATTCTTTATAGCTTGCCATGTTTTAACCAAAGCATGCTTGCTCTCAAGCTCCTGGGTGCACACTTGTGCAAGCACTGTCTGTCTGTCTGTGTATTGCTGGCAGCACTGTATCTGCTAAAGGAGAAGGGGAGGCCCTTTGGTTTTCAAGTTCTCCACACAGCACTCTGTACTTAGTTACCCAGCAGAGCTCCTGAACCTAAGATCTAGCCAGATCTTAGGGAACAGGGAACAGCTGGCGTCTTCAGTTGTACACAATATCAACTGAGCGTCCAAAGGGTGCTTGAGTTTCTAAATGATTAGCTCTGCTGAGTGCCTACTGTTGAATGAAAAGGAAGTACTGGCTGCTTCCAGGCTCACATTTACCAGGCACCAGCTATGCTCATAACTCTTATATTCGAGAAGATGGCAATCAATCTATAGAGGTCACCCACCAAACCCTGCCAAACCATCTTGCTCCTTCAGAAGATGGAATCATTAATCTTGCAAGGTAGAGAGGACTCAAGACTCAAGGGAAAATACCCACCAGCAATGCTGCACAATGACAATGGCCCCCTTAAGTTCTTATGTCTGAATGTTTGCTCCCCAGTTGGTGGAATAGTTTTCAAAAGTCTAGGGGGAATGGCCTTGTTGAAGGCAGTGTCACCAGCTTTGAGGTTTCAAAGAACTCACAGTTCTCAGTGCTTATTTTCGCTGCCTTCCACTTGTGGACCAATATGTGAGCTCTTAGCTGCTCCACCGCCATGGCTTTGCTCTCGTCATCTGAAACCCTAAACCCCTATTAAATGCTTTCTTTCCTAAGTTGCCCTGGTCATGGTGTTTTGTTACAGAAACAGAAAAGCAGGTATGGCAGTCCTAGTCCTGTCATGGAAGACACTCCATTATGCAGGCAGGCTGGGCAGAAGGGTCTCTAGAGGCTGTTTGCTCTAGAGAGCAAACAGAGCTGCACCAATGCTGTGCACTCAAGGGCTGCCTCCATGGCTCTTTCCTCATAAAAACCACCTCTGCCAACCCAGGCAGGATAGAGCCCATGTGAGGCCCCTGGCTGGTGTCTCAAAATTGGGCCTCCCAACACTTGTAACTGACAGAGCAGCTCACCACCACTAACGCGTGCACAGTACGGTTTATAGTGAATGCTTTGTTTCTGCACAGTATGGGATTTTGGTGCATGCTAAGCAAATGATGCCTAAGTAACTACCAGTCTCCAATAAAGCCTCAGGCCCTGAGACTTTAATAGGTCCTTGGTTTCAAGTGTTATCCTAAGTTGTTGGGGAAATAAGCAGATCCTGTGTCATGCTGCGGGGAGTCGATACTTATTTCCATGACTCTACCCTTTGGTGAGTTGGCCCTGTATCTCTCTGTGTTTTAAAAAAAAGAAATTCCACAATGAGCACATGATCCTTTCAGTTCCAGCAAATCATTAACTAGTGTGGTCCTAGACAGGCATATCATAGAAGCAGCCTGTGACTAAAATGTCAGGCGGCCCAGGATGGTACTTACAACAATGTCCTCTTCTGTGACTCGAGGGTGCAAATTATTCACAGTCATCTTGGTGCCTTCCAAGGGGCTAAGCACAGGCTGCCACAGAGACAAGAATGTGATGAGGAGTCAAAAAACAGCATGTACCCACACAACACTCACTCCAGACAACTGACTAGGAAGGTACAGCAGGACCCCATTCAGAGTACATCTATCACACTGGGCCTCTGAGACTGTAGAGGCCAGGAGACTCCTGCTACTTCCTAGGTGTGCAGGCCCTTCGCCCCAAGCCTCTGCATGGAATACTATCTAGACTTCCAGATCCAGCCAGCTCAAATGGCATTGGCTTAAACTCCTGAGAGGCACAAGATGCCATCTCCTCATGGTTCTCAATAGATCTTGTCTGGGACCCCATGCTATGCCACTACAGAGTAAGATCTCTCTGCAAGAGTCCTTTGTCCTGCAGAAAGGGGTGGCAGCATCTACTTCACAGGGTGTTGTAAAGACCTCTGGGATACACACAGCACTGTGATACCAACCCAGGCTGACACTTAGCTGGGATGATAGCAGTCACCTTACCTCAGCAGGCGGCAGCTCTTTGGGAGGCTCCTCCTTGTTCACCAGCGTCCGAGACATGTTGGTCAGGGCTTTGGTTCGAACAGAGGAGGGGAGAACAGGAGCAGTGTAGGCATCATTCTGAACCACTTTTGTGAGAGGGAGAGCCTTGGACACAGACAACTTGGAACTGCTTAGTCCAGTCTACACAAACAGGCAGAAAGAAGTCTGAGAAGCCGGAGCAGAGACCATTGTCTGAAGGATTAACAATGAGCTAAGGCAAGACCCCCAACGTCTCTCAGTCCAAGCCCAAGGGGCGGGGGCTGCTAGTACCAGCACTGCGCACTAGGGTAAGAGCAAAAAAAGGCACAAGCCACGCAATGACAAGAACCCCTTCTTGGAGGCACACTTAAGACACTTTCTACAGCACTAGTTTGTGCCTGGCAAAAGCTTTCCATACAGATCTGACCAGAAACTCACTTAAGAGCCACAGGCTCACCCATACTGTTCAAACTTTCAGAAAAACCTGGAATTTACAGCTGGTCAGAAGGCCAAAGCCTGAGGTCAAGCTCATTCCTTGATAAGCTTCAACTACAATGGAATGATCATCAGCTGGCAGACTGACTATACATATGAATTCTCTCTCTTTACTTTCTTTTTAATGATTGATTTTTATTTTCTATGCATTGGCAATTCGTTTGCATGTGTGTCTGTCAGATCCCCTGGAACTGCAGTTACAGTTGTGGGCTGCCATATGGATGCCCGGAATTGAACCCTGATCCTCTGGAAAAATAGCCAGTGCTCCTAACCTTTGAGGCATCTCTCCAGGCCCTAAGAACTCTCTTAGAAAGGCATAGAACTCCTAGCTTTTGATTTCTGATCTGGCAATACAGAGGCACCATGCACAGCCACAGCCTCCGAAGCTCCCAGTCTGTGAGGACAGGCTGCAGAAAGGTAGCATGCACACACCATCAGAATCAGAATCTCCCACCCCGGACCCCTGAAACTGAAGATGTGGTCTCTTGGAAACAGAAACTCCTCACATTCACATGTCTAGATGCATGAACTAAAGCAGCAGTTTTTGCTGACTGAAGGTTTGTTGCCACTGAAGAAAGGAAGAAAGGAGGGGTGCCACAGGCAGAGAAGTAGAGAGTAAGGGTCAATCCACCAGGCTTCTCCAAGTCTGACTAAAGCATCCTCCCCATACAAGACCCCACACTCTCAAGTCACGTTCTGTCTCAAGAGTCCTAACAATGCCCTGGGAGCCATGTTGATTTAGCTCAACAACTCCACCTACTACCCAAAAGCTGGGGTATGTAGAATAGGTTCCACCCTCTATGTGCTGCTTCTTTATCGTAAGTACAAACCAACGTCACTGAGAAGGAGAAATCTGACATGAATGACTACTTTTCCAGCTGGAATTAACCATGGACTAAGCCAGCACAGGCAGGCAAAACCACGCGCTCTAATTACTGGAAAAGGCCTCTTTCTTTTGTAAATAAAGGAACTGGAAACATTCAACTTCACAACCACTCTAAGAACTTAGTACCCAGGAGATTGCGTCCCACTTGGGATCCCAGCCAAAGCTGACTCCTTGCAGCAGGACCCTCCTCAGGCTCCAGACACTGCTCTCTCACTTCTCTGTAAGATGTCTAACCTTACCAGATGGAGCTCAACTTTCTTCACTTCCTGGTAAAGTTATACTGATTTCAGCTTATCCAGCCTGTTACAGCAGCAGAAAATGGACTAAGAACCAATTCCCATCAAGTGTCTCAAAGCTAGACCCTGGGAACTGTAGCTCTTCATTTCCCTGCTGTAGGTCCCTGAGCAAAGTCCTGGACATCCCAGCCTCAGCAATGATAAAACCAAGGAGCTGGCTAGTTATAGCTCTAAAAAGCTCATAGCCAGGAGAACAACAGAACTAAAAAATCCGGGCCCAGAGGTCTTTTCTGAGATTAATACTCCAACCACGGACCATGCAAGTAGATAACTTAGAAATCGTACACAGATGCAGCCCATGGCAGCTCAGCCTCCAAGTGGGTTCCCTAGTAAGGGGAACAGAGGCTGTCTCTGACATGAACTCAGTGGCTGGCTCTTTGATCACCTTCCCCTGAAAGAGGCAGGGAGCAGCCTTACCAGGCCACAGAGGAAGACAATGCAGCCAGTCCTGATGAGACCTGATAGGCTAGGGTCAAATGGAAAGGGTGGAGGACCTCCCCTATAGGAGGAAAAGAGGGAGGAAGGTCAGGACTGGGAGGGGACAAGGGTTAGCTACAGCTGGGTTACAAAGTGAATAAACTGTAATAAAAAATAAAAAATAAAAACAAAACACCCATAGCCCAAAACAACAAGAGGCCTGAACCTCCACAACCTCATCCATCCACTTGAAGAAAAATTGCCATACCGTGTGTTGGACAAAGCTGCCGGTGGATGCAAACTTCATTTGTTTAGTAGGAACAGGTGTTGTAATTTCATCATCTTCATCTAGGTCGTATAAATTCTGAGAATAAAAAAACAGTAGCTAGCTAGGCATGGTGACACACACCTTCGATCTCAGTGCTCAGGAGGCAGAGGTAGGCGGATCTCTGTGAGTTTGAGGCCAGCCTGGTCTACAAAGCAAGTCCAGGGCAGCCAAGGCTACACAGAGAAACTCTGTCTCAAAAATAAACAAACAAAACAAAACCAAAACCAGTAGCTGGGTTGTGCAGTGATCCCTAGCACCCCAGAATAAGCAAATCAATCAGTTAGATAAATGCTAATATGGCATGCAGCCCCTCAACACACCTCTGAACCAGAGAAATGGCTGAAGTGAGCAGGGACTAATGAAGGAGTTGGACACATAAGTACAGGGGCCTGATGAGACATGGGACTTAAGTCCTCACCAGGGGACTTCCACCCCCAGGATCAGATAAAAACTGCCAAGAAGTACTTCTACTTATAGATGCTCAGAAATTCCTTTTTGGTGGAAATATCTATGTAGCCCAGTTGGCCTGAAACTCAATCCTCCTATCCCCAGCCTCCCAAGTACTTAACATATAGCCAGAAATACCTTTTTATAAGTAGCAAATGTATATCCAGAATCTCTACAACATTTTATATTCAGTTAATGATACAGTCTGAGAAAGAACTTCACTCTCAAACAACAAAGTGTACGTACACTACTTCCACAAGCCTAAATGGCAGGATGGCAGAGCCTCCTACAGAGCTAGTGTGGTACACGCCTCTGTAGGCAGGCTATCACTGAGCACACTGCCACTGTCAAGTGCACGACTATGTATCGTCTGGCTTGGAAAATCAGCTCAGAGTCCGCTCTGTAGTGGTAAACCTAAACCCTACAAAGAGTCTAATCCCAAAGATGTTCACAGCAGAGTATTTCCAGCAGGGAAAATGTCAAGTCAGCAGATTATCCAGTTTTTAAAGATGTTCCTACAAAGTTGAAACGAGTTATTTAAAAAAAGAATGTTAAAAAATTGGGTGAGAACATACCTTAACCCCACGCAGGCTGTTATTGTTTGTGTTTTGTTTTTTGTTTTTTTTTTTTTTTTTTTTTTTTGGTCTTTTGGAGACAGGGTTTCTCTGTGTAGCCCTGGCTGTCCCGGACTCCCTTTGTAGACCAGGCTGACCTCAAACTCACATCTGCCTCTGCCTCCCCCAGTGCTGGAATTATAGGCATGCAACACGGCACCCCACCCCATAGGTATTAAACAAAAAATAGCAACAGCAAATGAAAAAACAGGAAGGAGGCCTGGGGGAGTGGTGGTTCAGTGCTCCAGTACTTATCTAGCACCATAAGGCCCCGAGTTCCATTCCCAGCACATCAAAACAGCAGCAACAAAAAGCGGCTGGGGTGATGGCTCAGCAGTCAGGAGCACCTGCTGCTCTCGATTTCCAGCACCCACATGAAGGGTGTACCTCTTCCAGAGACCTTCTGACCTCCGCAGCAACAGCTATGCTTGCAGAACACATGCATACATGCAAACAAACACTGATGCACATTTTAATTATCCTGCCTACTCCTGCCCTTTATGCCTCTCCTCTCTCAGTCAGAAGTTTCTTCTCAGAGGTTGGGGTGTAGCTGCTTAGATGGTAAAATGCAAAAGCCCTGGGTTTTACCCACAGCACAACATACCAGCAAGATAGAGGCAGATCATACTGTCTACAAGGGACCTTATCTCAAAAAAGAAAAAAAAAATTCATTTTGGAGATAAGGTCTCTGTACCTAGTTGAGGCTGTCCCAGACCTTGTGACCCTCCTGACTGACATACCATGCCTAGATTAAGAAATTTAAAAACAAAACAAAACAAAACAAGGTCTCATTTTGTAGCCCAGCCTGTCCTGAACTCACTAGCCCAGGCAAGCCTCAGATTCACGGGCTCTGACCCAGCCTCACAGTACTGAAATTACAGGTATGACCTTCTCTAAGTCTCCCAAGGGGCTGCTGCTTCTTTTTCTGCAATAGCATCTCACTATGTAGGTCAGGCTAGCCTCAAACTCACTGAGATTCACCTGCCTCTGCTCCCTGGGCTCTAAGATTAAATGTGTCTGCTATCACACCTAGCACAAGTTTCTTCCTAAAACTCACAACCTTCAAAGTGAAAATCTTCTTCTAACACTTTGAAATAGGAGCTTTAGGCCAGTACTCAGTCAATCCACCCAAGCAGACTTCATCAAAACAGATGCATGCGTACAAACTCACATGTGGGTGACACACACTCGTTCTACCTGTTTGGCCTGGTGGTTATTGACAACATTGATCCTCATTCCAGCTGGATGGGCATGAAGTGGCACCATGGCCTTTTGCTGTGAAACCTAGAAACATCCAGTGGTCACAATGCATCCAAGAGGGTTCATGTGCATTCCAAGTAGGTCAACAGTAGGTCAAGCAGTAATAGACCTGAAGAGCTTAACGAACTTGGCTCAGTCAACAATTGGTGCGGCTATGCCTGCTAACAAAGCTAACACAGACTAAATGCAGTTTCCTTTCCTTCTAGAGTGGTGGTTATGTGGGGTGGCCAGGGCACTGAACAAGCAGTCGGATCTCCTGGACTCCTCCCACTGACTGGCTGAGTGAGTAATGTCAGAAACACCATTTCACATTTCTTACAGATTCTTTTTTACAAAACTGAAGCAGTAATTCTAAAGTCTGAGTGACGAACAAATAAGACAGAACTTGAAAGTGCCTGCATCGCAGGTGGACAACATGCTTTGTGTTCTCCCTGTTTTTTCTCTATGTCTGTCTCACTTTGGAAAGTCAGTTCATTCTTGTGGACTTCTCCTTTGAAAGACAATGACCTGTGGTCCACAAGACTGTTTCTAATGTACTCTGTGGGTTTTTGTTTTTTTTTTTTTTTTTTTTTTAAGCCAGAAAGTGCTGGCTTACAACACTTTGAACACTTGCATTTCTGCCATTCCCCAATTTCTCCTGCATACTTCTAGCTTTCTTTCCATGTTTCTGGAAATGCAGGACAGGAGCCACAACCTACCTGGATAGTTTTGGTGAGTTTCAGAGCAGGGGTCACAGTCCCAATGGGTGGGCTTGTGAAGGTAGCAGGGGATCTCCTCTTCAAAGTGATTTTCTCCCGGGCATCAGCTACCTGGCGGGGCTTCTGGGGTACAGTGCTCTGCTGCTTCCGTGAGTTCAGCATCTCTCTGGCATCCTGTACTTTCCCTTTGATCCGAAACCGAGCATCTTTCTGCAAAAGCTTCTCCCGGGCATCTTTCACTCCCAGCTTTAGGCGAGCATCTGAGAGGCCAATCTTCTGCCGGGCATCAAATCTCTGCTGGAATGTGGCTGTGCGAGTTGGCTGGCTGAGAAGACTATGCTGGATCCCAACTCGAGAGCGGATGCCTCCAACTCCTGGTCTGGCACCGAGCCTGCAAACACAAACTGCGATAGTAAATGGGTCTGGGGATCAACAGCAGCCCATGGAGGAGAGCTGGAGTGACTGAGCCTAGAGTGCCCCGGAAATTCCAGAATTCTGCTTACATCCAAATACACAGAAACATAGCTTCTTTTTTGCCTCTGGCTTTTACCTTTACATCATAAACACAATTATGGAGAATCCATCACCAGTTAAAACTGTTTGCTCCCCTGATCATGCTTTCAATCAATCCTTTATGTACCTTGGAGTATCTATTATTATGCCTGTTTTCTGAGTGGAAGGCAGACCTGGTAAAGCTGCCTCTTAAAACAAATGGTGCCTCCATGCTGGCAGACACCCCTTACCAAGACTAAGGGAGCCAGCTTGTAGCTGTCAGCACTCAAAAGACTAACAGAATGAAGACGCAAAGATTTAATGGCCAGGCATGGCAATGCTTGTAATCACATCATTCGGGAGACTGCGGCAAGAGGACTCTGCTGGGTTCAAGGCTGGTCTAAGCTACACTGCAAGACATTGCTAAAAAAAAATAAAAAAGAAAGAAAGAAAAAATAAAAAACCAAAGGCTGGAGATAGAGCTCAGTGGTTGAAATTACTGCTAGAGCAGTGCACCTGGGTTCAGTTTCCAGCACTGGCATGGCGGCTTACAACTATCTGGAACTCCAACCCCAGAGGATCCAATGTCCTCTTCTGACCTCTGAAGGGCACCAGGCATGCTCATGGTGCACACACATACATTACATACACTCGTACAAAACATTCATACACATAAAATAAGTACACCTAAAAAAGAAAAGTAGCTCTGCAGTAGCAAAAATGTACAATTTCAGAAAACCCTAAAATTAGAAATGAAGGCTGAAGAGATGGGGAAGTGGTCAAAAGTACTTATTCTTCCAGACTCATGTTTGGTTCGCAGCACCCACACCAGGTGGCTGCAGCTACAGACGATCTGATGCTTCTTTCTAGCCTCTTCAGGCACTGCCCACAGGAAGCATAAGAACAAGGGCACACGCACACACAGAAATAAAAAATACAACTAAAAAAATTATTTTTAAAAATGAGAAATGAGGTGATGGCACACACCTTTAATCCCAGACACAGGTGGATCTCAAGTTCAAGGCCAGCCTAGTCTACAGAGTGAGTTCCAGGACAGCCATGACTGCACAGAGAAACCGTGTCTCAAAAAAATAACAATAAAATCAAAACAGGGGCCAGGCAGTGATGTCTTGCACCTTTAATCCCAGCACTCAGGAGGCAGAAGCAGGCGGATCTCGTTGAGTTAGAGGCCAGCCTGGTCTGGTCTACAGAGCTACAGAGTGACATCTAGGGCTACACAGAGAAACCCTATCTCAAAAAACTGAAAGAAAAGAAAGAAAGAAAGAAAAAAAAAAAAAACTAAGCAGGCCCTATTCCCGAGGCTTCAAGTAGTTTGAGAGCCAACACCTGGTCTTGCCGAGTAGAGTATGGGAATCTGCAGGTTTCTCTTGCCCGACCTACCTACCTACTCAACTAGGAAGCCTCTCTCCACTCCAGCTAATAAAAAGAACCACTCCTAAAGACAGTCACTCCTACCTGGCTGTGCACAATTAGGCCCTAATTATATGAGACCTCAAGGTTTTCTAGATGTACGAACTAAAAACTAAAAATGGGGAGGCCCACTATGCAGCAATGAAAATAAACCGAGCAAAGCCCCAATTACTGCCTAACACCTCTCCCCAGAAAACTTCCTTACAACAAGTGAGCGTGACTGCTATATCCCACGATTTATTTTTAACCAAGAGAGATGAATATATAAACATCAAAATGACTGACCTAGGGGTTACTAGCTCGCTGAATACTCTCCCCTCACCTTATAGGTAACTTAAAACTACAACAAAAGTTAGTAGTTAAGAATTCATATACAGACCACCTTAATTTGCTACAGCATGACTTGTATAAACTCCTAACATTATAATGGTCTACTCAAGTTAACAAAATCTGACTTACAGATGTGTGTCTAATCACTTATGGCCTTAATTTTTAGTCTCCCCACGGGCTGTATCTATGGTTTAAAGTTCATTTTGAAACTAAAAGAGCTTTAATTCAAAATTGTAATCTCAAGACAAACTTAACAGAGATAATCCCCATCTTTTTGTTGGTTTAGTTTGGTTTTTTTGAGATAGGGTTTCTTTATGTAGCCCTGGCTGTCGCTCTGTAGAACATGCTGGCCTCAAACTCAGGGATCCGTTGTGATTAAAGACATGGGCCAGCAGCATGCCTCACTTAAAATCCTAATCTTAGAAGTTATTTATTGTAAACTCTTAAAAAAAAAAAAAAGATTTATTTACTTATTATTTATACAGCATTCTGCCTGCAGGTATGCCGGTGCACAGAAGAGGGCACCAGATCTCACTATAGATGACTATGATACCATGTATGTAGTTGCTGGGAATTGAACTCAAGGACCTCTGGAAGAACAGCCAGTGTTCAGTAACCTCTGAGCCACCTCTCCAGCCCCTTATTGTAAACTTCTAAAGATAATTAAGAGATACAAATTAAAGGTCAGTCATCTGATAAATTATCAAAATCTTTAATGTGCAAAGAACTGTTTGTACTCATGCTAAGCACAAACATAATTCACTTACAGAGACAAGCTTGGAGGAAGAGACCAATTTATATTTCCCATTATATAGTCTATATGTGTTGTCAAAGTCAAGCCTGAATCAAAACAAGTTTAAACTGCTAGCTCATTTAATGTAAAATAACATTAAAAATCAGGTTTACTAAAAAATTGGTTATGGATCCAGAAAACCCCATCCATGGTCCCAGAACCATGATGAGCAAGTGGTGCAGAGATGGGAGCGAAAGAGCAGCAGAAGGATGTGTGCACAGTGAAGAGAGGGGGAACTGGAGATTCAAGGGTAGTCAGGAATAGCCTGATTTGAGTAGCCTGAGCTGCCACCTGAGGCCATGGTGAGAGGTCCATGGCTCTGCCGCAGCAGAGTTCTGTGTCGATGTCTATGGCCCATGCTACCACCAAAGGCCATGTGGATGCCCCTGGTCTGGGCTGCCACCTAGAACCCCGCTGATCTCTGAAGGCTTTAAAGAGCTGGCCTGGCCCTCACCTGGGCATGGTGGGAGAGCTAGACTACAGGCATGAGAGCTGGAGAGCTGGCCCTGCCCCTGGCCTGAGCAGCACAATAAATTTGTCAACGGTGACAACGGAACAGTGAGCCCCGAGGGCATGAGAGCAGGACAATGTTGGAGAGCTAGCAGGCTGAGCAACTCAGTTACCACCCAGGCCCAGATCCAGGGCTTGGAGTTAGCACACTCCAACATCTACCCCATCTATGAACTGCTGGAGCACATGAATGGGCTGGTCCTGCAAAACCAAAGCTGTAGGTTCTCCACGACACAGGGCAACAACAGGATAGCTGAGAGGAGTCCTGGTGAGGATCCAGTATTGATAGAGTAGAAAAAACAGAGGCCTTGTGTTAGGATGTTGGAACAAAACCTGCTTCTGGGTAGCCTAGCAACTTATGATGTCATCACGTGTTGCCAGCCAGGTGGCCACACCTGAAGGTGTGGTTACCTTGCCCCTTAAAGGGACAACCCTACATGTGGTCTCTCTCTTGTTTCTTTCTCTCTTGGCCTCTCTTTCTTGGTCCTTCCTCTCTATCGGGACGCCCCTCTCTCTTCCCCCTTCTCTCTCTTTCCCTTTCTTTCCTCCATCATGTCCTGCTCTCCCTTCTCTCTCTCTCTCCATATCCACCTAATAAACCTCATATATATATATATATATATATATATATGATCTATATATAATCTGTCGTACGCCTAATCATCTTTATTTAATTAGTTTGTCCCATAACCTTACATCTTGACCAGATCAGTGACTCACTGCAATGAACTTTTGCAAGTAAAGCTGTTTGGGCAAAAGGCTATACTGTGTGACATACCACAGCTTTCCATGGTAAAATATTTAAAATTTTTTATCCTCCCACCCCCAGGCAGGGTTTCTCTACATAGCCCTGGCTGCCCTAGAATTTACTCTGTACACCAAATTGTCCTCAAACTCATGAGATCCACCTGCCTCTGCCTCCTGAGTGCTCAGATTAACAATGTGTGCCACCTCTGCCTAGCTTTTAATTTTTTTTTTTTTTTTTTTTATTTTGAGGGGGGAGGTTTCAAGGATGGAGAGCAGATATGAAGGGATGGGAAAATGAGATTGGGGTACATGATGTAAAATTCACCAAAAAAAAAAAAAATCAATCAAAAGATTAAAAAATGGGTATGAAAATTAAATGAGTAAAAGGGGCTAGATTTACAGTACACTTGCATGGCAGGATGTCCTGAGGCCCAGGTAGTTTCCCTGGATGGAACACAATACCAGAATAAGTTGCATGCTAGCCTCACTGCAGAATAAGGATGCGTGGGGAAAAAAGATCTGCCAAAGTCTGCTGCTCCTGTCTCTGGCTACGAAGGCCTGACCAGCTCTGACTGTTAGGTCAAACCAGAACAACTGACAACTTCTTATCTGCAGTGAAGGTGAACCGCTCCTCCAGTCCCACACGACAGGGGAATGCATTCTTTGCCAAGAGGATCTCAAGAGTTTACATCCACATCCTAAATGCTTCAAATAGCAGGGAGGCAAACAGCAATCGCTCTGAATTGCTCTGTCCTCCATCTCCTTAACTGACAGATGGGGATGCTGGGAACGGAAACCTGTACCGAAGCTTCCTCAGAACTGCTATAGGACCTGTATGACCCTTCAATTGGCCTTGGCCTTTACCCAGGCGTTCAGCTCTTCCTCCTAACAAATGCTAACTCCAGGGTCCACATTCACTGTTCAATTAAAGGGATGAAAGGAGGCTGCCAGATACTGTCATCAAACTCACAGTTTTGGGTATTTATTCCGATATCCAAGTGGTGTCTTTGAAAACTTTGCTAGACAATTCTATAAAAACAGCAACAGGGTTCTATTTCCAATTAGTTGCTGGATTTAAGCATTTATAA